TTTGTTTTGTTTTAATTTTGTTGTTGTTGTTTTTTTTCGTTTGAGAACGACTTTTATCGTATGGCAGGGATGCTTGTTGTATAGTTTTTAAGCGGATGTTATCATTTTTTTTTAACTCACATAGTCAAACCAGTCTTTGTCCTTGTTTTGTCCCTATTTGCTATTGAGAATTGTAATACAACCAATCTAACTCAGTAAATATTTTTTTGTCAGATACTGCATTGCACAAAAGAGCACCAGGTTCTTTCCTGTTCAGCCTTGTCAATGCCAGTGGCTTGCCACCAACAAAGATGCCTTTGATAGATGGTCAGGAAGGAAAAGCCATCTTTTGCTACGGTGGCAACGGTCCAGTATTTGGAGGTGGAAATGACCTTAACATTTGCTGCTCTCCAAATTCTTCCAACTGCTCTGTTAACCTTGGCAATACATACCAGTGCCCAGTAGGTCAGAATGGTCACTATTTTTTAACAGGAAGTCAATACTTCACTGTGAGTGAAATGGAAGTGTTTGTGTTCGAAAATTAAAGACATTGTTGTCATTTTTTTTCTTCCTGATAAGACTAAAACTGATTCTGTAAACGTTTGCCATTGACTAGTTTCCTCTTAGTCATGTTGTTGATAGAGAGTTTTGTTACTGATATATGAATGGAGGTGTAAGAGCCTTTAGAAACTCTGGTGCTGTGCTGATTTGGTTCGTGAAAGATTGTTACTTGCTTTTGATTTTCAAGAATTGTCTATTAGTCATTTAAGTGAGTTGTTGTTACTTGATCAAGACTGAGTTATTAAAACTAACGTTTGCGAAGACTGTTTCTGACTGGAGATCTGTGAAGATATTAACCGGGTGGTGGATTAACAAGCATAATCAAAACTACAACAACATTTTTGAACATGATTGGTTATCACTAGTCCGATTTGAGCACTAACAGGATAGTGTACGTGTCATGCTTGTAATTGAACAGTGTGCTGGGACAATTTAACGCTAAGCCTGTGCTAGTGGACGGTACGCGTCATGTGCGCGCTGCTGTCGCACATTTCGCCGAGTTAAACTATTTTTTTTTTAATGAAACACATAACCATGTCCAGTTCCTTTCTCAAATTTTGTCATAGTTTTGATAAATTGGTAACAAGACTTCGTGTCGCCCAATTCTATATGTTATCATACTCGTCATACACGAACAAATCGGACTACCACGATTTTGTCAATAACTCGTATGATTACAGACCCAATTGAACTCCACTCAGTCCTATTACCATTATAAATCAAATACAGGTTGTTCATATAAAAAGCACGATAAAAGCGCAAGAGGTTCTTAACACAGGCGTTCAGTCAATAAAACAAAGTGCTTTGGTAAACGGCGGAATAGTAGCGGAGGAGTGGAAAAACGAGGGAGATCTGGAACGGGTCGGATAAAGAACGAACGACACGACCCAGACCTCCCTCCCATCTTAGCTCCATTTTACCAATAGGATGCCTGGAACAGGCTAATGGAATAGGTGCGTAAGTGATGTTTCTTTTCATTGGGGAAGAGGAGGGTGTGGGAGGTAATGGGCCAGAGTCAGCGCAGTGTGGGAATTTATGAGCATGGCTACGTTGTTTACTTGTGAGAAATTTTCAACTTAAACAAAGGAAGAGGTATCGGTCAAACCTAAATTAGGTTTCGTCTTAATAAAAAGGCTGCTATCAGCTATCACAAGTAGCAGACAAAACAATTGCGAGAACCTTAAACTTTTTTTGCCGAAGAAAATGTTGTAAGTTTCTGGTTTCCTAGAAAGTCGCTTTTACTACCTTGATGTAAAACAACAAAGTGCTAAAAAGGCGCATTATCCCGAAATAGAAAAAAAAGTTTAAACTGTGTAGCTTCATCATAACATAAAGAGAAGAAAATTTCCTCGTAGGCATCTATCCTGAGTTATGACCTGCTCATCAGACAAATTATATTCATTTGAACGCAACAGCTTCCTTGTAGTAGCCTTGTCTCTCCTGCCTGGAAATGTTAATTTATTACTTAGAGCACTGATTTATTTTAGAAATTTTCTGGGCAAAGATACCCCCACCAACGCAGCGGTACAGTTTCTTTAGAAATTTAACCCCATTACCTAAGGCAGAATTTGGTTTAACCGTTCCGTCTCGAAGACACCATATTCCCACCACTAGCGTAGCTTATTTTCTGCATATAAGCAAACACCCAACCCACAATTCCTCCAATCACTCTGACGAAGGGCTGACGATCGAAACGTTAGCTTTTAAACTCTCCACGGTGGCCAATTTACGTTATCAACTCAGTTGATAATACTAAATTACTCTGTTATACTCTCCTACCGACGCAGCAATTTCTTTAGAAATTTTCCCCCTCTATTCATTTGTCTTGTGGACGTTAGCCCATGACTATTCTCGTCGCACTAGGTCTTGAAAAAAACCGGCAAAGGTGGTCAAGCGCGTAATATAAGCCCCAGGAAGCTGGCTCTGAAGAGGGATTCATTAATTTTTTTGAAAAAAGTTCACACAATTACTAATTTTCGTAAATCTCATCGATACCTCTGGACGCTCAGGGATGCTTCAAACCAATCTTTCGTGTCTTTTGACTGTTTCAAAGGCTTGTATAATAAAGTAGCATGCGAAATGAAGTGGACGATAAAACACTTATGGATTCTCACTTCACAGCATGACTAAACATCCAGTAGCCCACGTTTAACCGTACCCTCCCCCCTCCCCCCCTACCCCAAGGTGAAATGGAAGCAAGGGAACATCCGCGCAAAACTGGCACTAGCCGTGTTCTGTGACGTCATTCTTTTGCAAGAAAATATACAGCCGCTTTTTATTGGTTAACCCCTTTTGCCGGCTCTTTCGTGAATTCTGATTAGCTAAGGTTGGTAATTTATTTTTTCACACTTACGAACAGGATGGTGCACAAAAGCTTGTATGGTCAACTTTTTAGACAAAAGCGATCTACGACGAAGTTTTAAGGTAGTTTGAGCGACTCTAGGATAGAAACATTTCAAGAAGAACAGCGGAAAGCAATAGATATCTTTTCCGAAGGTAACGATGTCTCTTTTTTGTTACCAAATGGCTTTGGAGAATCTTTAATATATCAAGCAGCGCCAGTAATTCATCGGCTCCCTTCTCTAAAAGAAACCGGTGACTCTGTTATTTGTGCTGCCCGTTAAAGCTCTGATAGAAGACCAGGTGCACTATCTCAATGAACTTGGACCAGAGGTTCGTCCACCTTCAACTTTCGGTCTCTTTGCGAACAGTGATGCGATGCTATGAAATCTAGTTTTGTAAGCGTAATGCTAATCGAACATCGTCCTCTTCTTACTCTTTACCAAAAATCGCTCGTAATCTTTTCCAATATTCTTGGAGCAAACTAAAGTATTTATTTGAACTCGGACGCTGAATTTCAAATTGACCCGAAAAATGAAAAATGAATTCACTTCAATGTTATTGTTTATCTCGATAAACTTTCACGCTAACACGTGCCACTTCGCAAAAAATATCATCAAGGTATATAATTCTGCATATATTAGAGTAACGTCGCATAACATGATTAGTGTCGGGTTTGAGTAGACCTTCCCTCGCTTCCATTCAGAAGGAAAGGTACGGCTATACGTAGGCTAAACATCCAGTTGTTTCTGAGAAATCGAAACACCGAGAATTAATCAAAACCTCGTGCAATTTCCGCGAAATATGAAGACCAAGAAGCTTTTGTTAATTCTTGGAACTCTTTGCATTTTGTACTCGTCGACGGCTTGTTGGAGAAAGTTGAAATGTTTCCCTCCCGCATTTCAAAGAAAAGTGACTCTCAAAACGGTGCGAAAGAGTCTAAGTTGTCTTTCTCTCGCAGTTCAAAGAAAGATTTGCCGAACGACGTAGCCCTAGACGAAGTAAACAAGCACATTACTGATACATTGAGTATTTTGAGGCGCGAGATAAGTAAAGTTCGTAAAGAAAAGGAAGCCTTAATTTGTATTGGACAGGCAGGCAGTGGGGGCAGGCAGGGGCAGTTTGTTTTATTAAGGTGTTGTGAGGGGAAGCGGGGGAGGGTGAGTAAGGTTTTTAAACTAGCTTCAGTTCTTATGTAAATTTATGGGGGTGCCAAGTTTTTTTAGATTTTCTGAGGTTGATACTCTTTAGAGCAAGGAAGGTCATGTTCTGTACCTATGCGTGGTGATATTAAAAAAAAAAAAAAAAAGGAAAAAAGAACCGTCATCTCCTTCTAAGTTTCTTTTCCCCTTTAAAGTTAAGCGTTGTTCCTGTCGTCTTGGTTCTGTAGTGAGATAACGTGGTGTATTTGTAATCCGCTGTCACCTGGTAACTATTAAATCAAGAGCCAGCCCGGTTCCTAAAGTCGCCACTTCTATCTTAAATCGGTATCTTATGATCTTATATCACTCTTCAAAAACACTGTTATATTTCCAACCGGCCGGCCACCATCTTAACAAAAAAAAACAAACAAAACAAACAAAAAAAAAAGAAATAGACCGATAAAGTCCTGGGTACAATGTTGACATTTTCTTATTTCAGGACCGGAAGTGATAAGGTTTTGTGGCTTATCATTTACGAAATTTTTGTCTGAGGATACGTTCTTTCGTCGATCCAGGAAAATCAGAGAACCATCTAAACCACAAAAGTGTCATACTTAGAGTATTACATCCTTTCTATCTTTTGCACAACTCTACATTATTTGTATTTATTTACTCGTCAGGCCTTAACTCAACTGTTATTTTATCCTCTGTGCATTTCTTTTGAATTTATCCATTTCATTCTAATAGTGGGTTTCTTACATAGTGTAAAGTGTTTAGCGAAACGGTATAAATATAGAATCACAGTTTAAGAAAATATTCGACATCTTTTAAAAACATCTTTCGACAGTTCTACTGTCATCTGTTCTGATTTATACAAAGTACAAAGTTGAATTTAAAGTGTATGGCAAATGCTCATCGGACAAAACAAACAATAGAACGAAACAATGTGTACAATTACAATGAAAGTTTTAAATTAATATGATAACGTTGATGATTAATTACGCTGAACGGTAATGAATGCAATTCCCCGGTTTCCGTTTCAGACACTACGCTGACCTTTTATTTCAGATTACCTTACATTGGCCCTTTTCCTGTTGTCACGTAAAAAGGAGTTCGCCACTTTGCTAAGTGTTATTGAAATAATTAAAGCAGCACGCAAGTTCTGAGAATAGACGATATATCTCGGGCTTCTCAGGAAAAAAAAAACTGATTTCGTCACCCGTCCTTTTGTATAACCCACTTGAATTAAGATTCAAACTCAAAGACTCAAAGAAAGATTTAGCCGGCGATGAAGCCTTAGACGAAGTAAATAAACACATCAAAGAAGCTTTCGACATTCTGAAGCGTGAGACGAACAAGCTTCGCAAGGAAAGAAATGCGTTTGAAGAGGTGGCAAAGAAGCTCGAACATGTTCATTTCTCGACCATGCTGAAACTTAACGTCGGTGGCCATTTTTTCTCCACAAGGTTGGCGACTATGACTAAAGATCCAGGTCCTTTAAAGCAAGTTTTGAGTTTTGAACTAAGAATTGAGATCTAGCTTTTTGATACACTGTACAAAGTTCGCTTTCATTCAATAGTTTATTCATAAATTCAAGCAGCTGTTTAAGTAGTTGAGAGAATTCGATTTTTTAAGTCCATTTTTCAAAACGATGCTTACGTTTTGCAGGCTGACTTCTGAAATTACACCTGCGTCTCTATGCTTGTTTAAAAACGAGCAGGCATGTGGAACGTAGTCTTAAATAATCCGCTATTACTTCTAGTCAACTGAACTCACCACACTAAAAACATTTTTGATACGGTCGAATGTAGCTTGCTTTGTGATGTTCGATGCCACACGCCAAATTGGGTAAATGTAGTTGATTCTTTTTGAAAAAAGGATTTAGGTATTGAAAGATTTTTTTTCATATTGTTTTCACAGGTTCCATGTTACATACCATGTTTTCAGGCAGATTTGACACAAAACCTGGCGAGGATGGATCTTACTTCATCGACCCAGACGGAACACACTTCCGACATATCTTAAATTATCTTCGCACTGGGAAACTCGTCTTACCGGACGATAAAGTCGTTCGCAAGGAGTTGTTAAGCGAGGCGGAATTCTATCGAATCGATGGGATACTCAATGAGTTGAAAGCAAAGCCGTTTAAATGTAGTTTCGTAAGCGCGATGCTAATCGAATATCGTCCTCTTCTTACTCTATGCCAAAAATCGCTCGTAATCTTTTTCTATATTCTTGGAGCATAGCCTACATTTAGACTCGGAGCTGATTGCAAAATTTACCTGAAAAATATAAGATGAATTCGCTACAATGTTGTTGTTTATCTCGATAAACTTTCGCGCTAACACGTGGCACTTCGCAAAAGAATCATCAAGTTATATAATTATGCATAACACTATTAGTGACGGGTTTGCGTAGACCTTCTCTCGCTTCCATTTTACCTTGGGGGGGGGGGGGGGTACTACTACACGTGGACTAAACGTCCAGTTGTTTCTGAGAAATCGATATACCGAGAATTAATCAAAACCTCGTGCAATTTCCGCGAAATATGAAGACAAAGAATCTTTTGTTAATTCTTGGAACTCTTTGCATTTTGTACTTGTCTAAGTCTAGTTGGAGAGCGTTGAAATGATTTCTACCCGCATTAAAGTCTCGAAGAAAAGTGACTCGCATAACCGTGTGAAAGAGATGTCTTTCTCTCGCAGTTCAAAGGAAGATTTGCGGAACGACGTAGCTCTAGACGAAGTAAACAGGCACATTACTGATGCGTTCAGTATTTTGAGGCGCGAGATAAGCAAAGTTCGCAAAGAAAAGGAAGCCTTTGAGGAGGTCGCAAAGAAGCTGGAACACGTTCATTTCTCGACGATGCTGAAGCTCAATGTGGGTGGTCATCTCTTTTCGACCAGTTTGGAAACCATGAATAAAGATCCAGGTATTTAGGAATTAGCCAACGCATTTGTTATGTAATCAGAGGCTTGATCTAAGATCTTGTTATCAAAATATAATTATCAACTGCATGCCTCTATGACATCGGTTCGGCCTCAATCAAAGGAATATTTCGTTCTCTGTTATAAGATATACTTTATGGTCATTTTTGATTTCAAATAGTCTTAGAAACAAGTATGATGTGTTATTTCACTCTCTGCCATTTCTTTAATTGAAGGTAATCTAAGATTAACAACTCAGAGCGATCATAATTCGTGTATCGAATGAGATTTTTCTATTATTTAGTAAATAAAACACCCCTGAAATATTCTAAAACTTGAAGCTTTTTTCAATTTTACGATGAAAAAGGCATTAAGATAGGGTTTTTTCTATCGTGTTTTTCTAGGTTCTATGTTACACGCCATGTTTTCAGGAAGATTTGACACAAAACCCGGCGAGGATGGAACCTACTTCATTGATCGAGATGGAACCCACTTCCGGTATATCCTGAATTATCTACGCACCGGAAAACTCGTGTTACCAGACGATGCAGTCGTTCGCAAGGAGTTACTGAGCGAGGCAGAATTCTATCAAATCGAAGGGATACTCAGCGAGCTGAAAGCACAACCTTTTCAGGATTCTGTGATCCTTTCCTTGGAGCAACGCCAAATCTTGATTGACTGGTTGAGGGAAACGCTTGGGAGCGCAAGTGACGACTACGTTTTGTTATACCGCGCCACCCGGAATGGCTGGGCTGCTTCCAATTTTCACTACTGTTGCGACCGAAAGGGGCCAACAGTAACAGTGATAAAGAGTGGAAATTACATCTTTGGAGGATACACTGAGGAACAGTGGTACCAACCCGGTAAGTTTTAACACTTCTTGCCAACCCTATTAACTACAGGTTTACAGCGACTTATTTCCTGTTCCATGAGGCCTGAGCTGTGTGCTTTGGAATACCTCCAGGCGCGTGAAGGAAATCGGGAACGAGAAGACCCATAATCCCTTGCTTTTCCAAATTGTAACCAGTCTCCCCCTGCTTTTAACCTCGTTCTCCTTAATTTGCTCTTCTTAAACAAAGGACGTTGCTTCAAACAGTATTCAGTTTATGAAGAAGACAAAACATCTTTCCATGTATGGGAGTATGCAGTTAAGTATGGTCCAGACAGTAAACTGAGGAACTGGGTACAGTGAAGGAGGACAAAAGTTTTTCAAACGCTTTTCCCAGTGAAGTTGTACAATGTAACCTCTCAAGAACGTTGCACAAAATTGTGGTTAAAATCAAGATCCACGCAGCAATTCAAGAAAATCTCACTAAAAGATGTGAGTTTTTTGAAGATGTTAGTCATTTGTTAAGAGCGGGAAAGCAGAAATAAATCAGAGTTTCATGTGCAGGCTCAGTTTTGTTGCAGCTTAATTAGGCTTACACACTAGTTAGTGATAAAGGCCATAAGACAGTTTATTATAAAGTCTGGATATAACGCGCGCTACCATTGGTTGAAAGAGCGAGTTTTATTAGAGTACAAAGCATAGAGCCCTACTTCTTTCGTGCTCTAGCCGCTTCCTGCGTGCTTTACAACAGAAAAGAGCACAGTCAAGGCTTCTCTGTTTGATAATTTTACATTTTTTTAATAATCAGCGTCGGGGTTTTAGGAAACACTGCTTGGTTCACTTACCTTTTGTTGTTTTTGTTCAGCAAGCGGAGCCAGTTACAAAAAAGCTCCTAAATCTTTCCTGTTCAGCCTTGTCAACCCAAATGGTTTACCACCTTCAAAGCTACCACTGATAACTGGAAAAGAGGGGAATGCAATCCACTGTAACAATGGAAATGGGCCTACGTTTGGAAGTGGCCACGACCTTCGTATTGTCAACGCGCCAAATTCCAACAACTGCTCTGTCAGCCTGAATAGCTCGTACCAGTGTCCTACTGGGCAGAATGCTGCCACCTTTCTGCAGGGGAACCAGAATTTTACCATCGGTGAGATGGAAGTTTTTGGATTTCAGAAGTAAGAGGTGTTTTTGAGCTTTGTAGCTGCACTGATCGACTCAGATTTTGAAGCGATTTTGTCTTGTTCATAGTCAATTTCATAAGGAGAATACTTGTTCAGTTAATTGAGATTCATGTAGGTTTGATTTGTAACACACTGAGACTTATTCATGAATCATCAAAATAAACTTTTGTAGAAAATGTTGTACTTCTTGTATAAAATAAACACTTGATTGAATTTGCTTAATCAGGTTTTGAGAATTATACGTAAGCGAGTTCTATTTTTCTCTTCTTTTGTGAACATTAGGAAAATACATTACTTCGTCCCTAAAAAAGGGGATGACTATCCGATATTATAAAGTGTTCAGAGAAATGCGCGCGCTATGATTAATCTGAACGAGTTCATCATATTTCCATAATGCACGCGCCTTACGTCACACGAGTGCACTGTTTAGATATAATGCACGCAGCTTACGTCATCGGTACGAGTGCGCGCAATTCACAATACATTTTATAAAAGAAAGAAATAAACTTGTTCCTCGAGCAGTGCGGAGAGGCACTCGCCTTCGGCTCGTGCTTCTCCGCACTTCTCTCGTGTTCTTTAAAAACTCCCAAGTGCTTATATAACTCAATATTTTATTTCTTTGCTAAAGACCACTCTTATTATGGTTAAGACCATCATCTTAAGATGACATGAACAATCTCTACAAGCACGTGAAGCGATAGAATTATACGGCACTCTTTTGTTTCAATTCAATTCAGAGCAAGGCCAATTCATGTAATATTCTTTTTATTTTGAAGAGAGCAAAAACAGTCCAGGATAGTTATCAAGTTTGATAACCCAGGCCAAAACAAAACAGTAACCAGTCGCTGCTTAGATTCACGTTCGCGCGACATTATTGAGGCATCAATATTATACTCAAAATGACGTCCGAAGCCCGAACCACACAGAGTTTACTAAACCGATTGTTTACGACTGTAACTTGTGATTGTTGCTTAATTAAATTGTACAGATGGAAAGATAAAATTTCGGACCGTTACAATGGCTTCTTCTCTTTTTTTTTCCTAGTCTCAATAATATTTATTCGGATTATTTTGCTTTCTTGGCGGACGGCGAAGCCTCTGGGTTTTTCAGCGCTCGTCCCGTTACGTACCAACCATATATCGGTGCGAAAGAAAAAAAAGTTCATTTTCACTGATACTGCTACTTCACGAGTGAATCGTCCAAATAACAATCGGCTGCAGCCCATTCCAACCCATAGGTGAAAAGAGGATGAAATCGTGGCGGATTTCAAGCGCCAAATCATTTAAATGGGAGGGTTGCTATGAACAAAAGCCTCTCGAAACATGTAAGAAGATAGAAAATCCGTTCTGCTAGGCACTTATATTACGTACCTCCACGGCTGCTCATTCATCGTCCATTTCTGATTTGACCTTGAAAGCCTTCTCTCTGCATCTCCGAGATATTCCTTGCTTCAACCGAACACCAAGCCTCAGGCTGCTCTTATCAGAGGGACATAACAACGCACGCGCAACTTCCGCTTCCGGCAAATCTCGCTTTGGTGTGCGTGACTTTCCTTGAAACATATCATTTGTTCTAAAGATGTCTTCGTCCGATTTAACTTCGCACAACTCCGAAGAAGACTTATCTGACTACGATGAAGCTTTGGATGAAGTGAACAAACGCATCAACGAAGCTTTCGATATCTTGAAGCGCGAGACGAGAAAAGCACGCAAGGAAAAGCGATCTCTCGATAAGGTCGCAAAGAAGCTGGAACACGTTCATTTCTCGACGATGGTGCAACTTAACGTCGGTGGTCACCTATTTTCGACCAGTGTGGCAACACTGAGTAGAGATCCAGGTAAGGACTTTATTAAAACTGTCCCGGTAAGATTTTTTGCACAGCCCCTTACCATTCTAAAACAAACCGTGGTCCCAAAGGCCATGAATTATTTTCGCTATTGCTTTCCACATCCAAGAACTGTGTGTACAATGAAGTGTGCGGCCGTGAAGAAATCTAGTCACCACTATCTGTAACTGCACACCCACCCCTCTTTGGTTAGGGGAGAGGGAGGGGGGGGGAGGGGGTAGGTGTGTGTAGTTACTCGGATAATGACACTGATCTAGCTATTGTTGTGTCTTTCGTTCTTTCCATCCAAGTACTGTATGCATAATGACCTATGGGTTAAGCAGAAATCTTGTCTTGCCACTCTGTTGAGTTTATTTAATTGTAGACTAGTATGAGGTCCCTTAAAAAAAAAACATATTCTAAGCCCCCCCCCTTCCCCCATGAGAAATGAATCATAATTTAAGAGAATTATCAATTGTAAATAAATGATTATGTATTAATTATTAATAACTACATAATTTAGGTGAATTGAATCGCTATAAAATGGGGCAGGAATTTAGATTGAATTTTCTTCTCCAACTTTGGTATTATTTAGGAATGTTATTGTATGTAGTGGGAAACATCAAGTTTTTAAAATGATGGACCTTATTAAAAAGCAGCAATTTTTATCTCTGTATTGTTTTGGTTTTTTTGTATTCCCAGATACCCTATGTGCAAGGTCATAACACAGTAAACATCCTGAAATATTTAAAGCCTTCTTAATTTTTTTTCATTCCTTTTGACCCAAGAGTGACCAGCATTTAATTTCTCCCCACAGTAATACCCTGAATCATTAATTTAGATCTTGAGAATAAAGGAAATGATTGTCAATGTAAAAAGCTTTGAATTTGTTATAGTAATTCTCCTTGAGGGACTGAAGGAAATATATAGAGAAGAGTGTAGAGAATGAGGATACTGAGTTAGAATGAAAAGGGTTAAATCTTTTCCCCTTTCAACCATAGGTTCCATGTTACATGCCATGTTTTCTGGAAGATTCGACACAAAGCCCAGTGAGGATGGATCTTACTTCATTGATCGAGATGGAACCCACTTCCGTTACATCCTGAACTATCTTCGCAGTGGGCAGCTTGTTTTGCCCGAAGACAAGATTGTTCGCAAGGAGCTGCTTAATGAAGCAGAATTTTATCAAGTTCAGGGAATTATTGATGAGCTTAAAGGAAAACCTTTTAAGGACACGTTGATCTTGTCATCAGTTCAACGGCAAACCTTGATCAACTGGTTGAAGGATACAATGACAAATGCTAGCAATGATTATGTCTTGCTGTATAGGGCTTCACGCAATGGCTGGGATGCGTCCAACTTTCATGCCTGTTGTGATAACAAGGGACCAACAGTTACAGTGGTCAAGAGTGGAAATTTTATATTTGGAGGATATACTGATCAACAATGGGAGTCACATGGTAGGTCTTTACTAACCTTGTAGTAAAGAAGAACATGTAGAGTAGTGAGGTGACTGTTTTTGCTGTGAAGGTATCTTTCATAGGTGCATAAACACAAATTTGACAATATCATTGTAAATTGCTTTTAGCTGATGTCTCTTGATAAAATATAGAATTAATTTTGGTTTAACCCCTTCTCTCACAACATTTTATTAGTAATTCTCCTTACTGTCTGTATGTAATTGTTATGTTGTTATTTGAAGAGTTTGATATTGGATCAACTAATAATCCCCTAAATGGTATTTTTCATTATTCTCATCACACTTTAGCTTGATATTGTACAGTTTATGTAGGGAGAAATTCTTTCTTGATCACTCGTGGGAGCAAAAGGGTCAAACAAAATGAGCTAGTCACCTACAATGGTCTCCTATTACAGCTCACATTTAACAAAAAATGAATCTTTCTTCTTTGTAGGGGATCTCATTAACCCTGCTTACTTAGATTCCTTGGATGTATTCAGAGGAAAATTAGGCTAAAGGCTCACTGCATAATAATTATAATCATAATAGTGATGATGTCAATGACAGTAATCATTAATAATTATAATAATAATAATTCTGATGACTAAGTAATTCTCATCAATGCTAGAAAGGATGAATTAATGTTTCCTCATAATTTTGAATCTGTTTCTTGAAGCTCATGTATGGATGGGGGGGAGGCAGTGGAAAGGGAAGGGTGGAGAGGTGGAGAGCTTGAGACAAAAAAAATAATTGGAAGAGTAATTTACATTTTTTGGAAAAACTACAGAAGTTTTGACAGAAAGTTCTGACGAAGGGCTAACATTTGAAATGTCAGCTTTGAAACTCTTTATGGTGGCCAATTTATGTCATCAATCCGGTGTTTGACTAAATTACCCAGTTATACTCTCCCACTGATGTAGCACTACAGTTTCTTTAGAAACTAATATCCTCCTTAAAACTTTTGACAGACTCATAAGACAATGCTTCAAATTTAGATATGATGCTTGACCTCCTTGCTTTTCCATCACATTCTAGTCTCCTTTATCCCTTCCTGATTCCATTTTATTTGCAGGATCTATACAATTGTAGTGAGGGCATTATTGTGTTTTTTATGAACCCACACCTCAAACACTTGAGAAACTTCAGCTTAGGTTTTACCATCCTTTTAAAATTTTGGTATCTACATCAGGCCATCCCCTTTTCAACTTCCACTGAGTCATTGTTTGATCTTTTAGGGGAGGTTGTTCATTTGTTATCGAACATTGAGGTCTTGTATCCCCTTTGACAAGAAAGGTCAAACAATGATGGTGTTGATGATGATAATGGACTAAAGGTTTTTATGATAACTAACAGTCATGTGGCAGTTTCTCTTGATTACACTGCATTCATTCCCTGTGTATTTAATGTTATAGAGAAATGTTAAGTTATTCACTCTTCAATGAAATAATAAGTGAATGATTTCTTATGGCCACAATTCTTTATTTTTTTAAATTTAAAATTTTTTTTTTACAGCTTCAGGAGTATACAGAGAGGCTTCAGCCTCCTTCCTCTTCAGCCTTGTCAACCATAGTGGCCTGCCACCGACAAGGATGGCTTTGAAGGCTGGACGTGAAGGACAAGCCATCTTTTGTTTCAATGGCAATGGCCCAGTATTTGGTGGAAATGATCTTCGGTTTCCTTCTACACCAAATTCCACCTCCTGCTATGTAAACCTGAACAACACTTATGAATGCCCTGTAGGTCAGAATGCTACTACATTTTTTACAGGAGCTCAGTCATTTACCATCCAAGAAATGGAAGTTTTTGGTTTTGAAAAGTAAGAGACTGCCTGGGCTATTCACTTCAAGTAGTGACCAAAAAGGAATTTCTCTTTAAATTGTAGATACATTTGTGAGCATAAATGTGTTGAGAAGATGGTGAAAATATCAGTTGTGGGCAACTGTGTGAATGTATATCAAATTTTCCTGGCTAAGATTATAGGAAATGTATGGTAGACAGTGCAGCTAATTGATATGTAGGGCTTGGAAGGGGTTAATGATCATATTAATGAAAAGATAATAGATTTGAGGTGCCATCATTTGTTTGTACCATATTATGCAAATGAATTGTTCGTGTCAAAGTTGTTAACCCTCCCTGGGATAAGTAATAAAATATTCAGTGGGTAATGCTTGGCACATCTCTTGTTATTTCTCAGGCTTGGCTGTTCAAAGCTGGGTTAAGATAACCCAGGGTAAGTGTGGAATTTGATTTCATATCTAAAAGGTTTATAAGAAACTCAGTCAAACTTCTTTTGCCTACAATTTAATGACTGGATGCAGTAAAAAAAAAATTATAATTGAGAGAGAAAATTATGCTAAAAAGGCTTTTGGATGCAGAAATAAAGAAACCGGGATTAATATTTAACCCTGGGTTAACGCTAATCTGCCTTCGAACAACTGTGCCCAGCTGCAGACCTTTTTCTGTGTCGTTCACTGGGTACGTCTTGTAGGGTTAATGTTTCGTAGTGAATTCTTCAAGCTCCCACGGGGCTCCATCAGTAAATCGCCCGGCTGGAAGGACTATGGGAGAGAGAAAATCTATCTAAATAAATCAGTTTATCCCCGAATGAAAGTTTACAAAACGTCAGCCTTACTGAAGTTATTTGACAAAAGAATTGAAAAACCGAGCTGGTTGAATTGTAATCCGATCGTACTAGAGGTCGGTGCTATTAGGTGCCTTTCGCATAACCTGTTCTTAGTTTACATAGTATTTTTACGATGTAAAATGTAGCAACTAGAGAAGAAAAGGAGTGCTCTGGTCCGTTACTGAATTACGTAACTAAAGTTTGCCTTATTGATAACCGTAAAACATATTTGAATGGTAATCTGTGGGAGCCATCCAGGGAATTTTTGCGTGAACGTTTACGAATACTCTATTATTTTATTCACCCCTCCCCCCCCCTCCCCTCCCTTTTGCTAACTTGCAGAATTTATTCTGAAAGTACATAATAAACTAAAGCGAATTGATATCATCAAGCACTTGGAGGATGTCTTCTATTCTGTGATGAAAAACAGGTTCTTAACTGTGTCGACGCGAGTACTTCATATCGTGTGACATAGGTTACGTGTTGTGTGACCATTTAAGTAATAAGTTATGCATCGTTTCCGGAAAGATTCCCGGAATCAATTGTTCACGGAAACATCACTTTCTTCAGCGCTAGTGGAGAAAGATGTCTTCACCAAAAGGGCCCGAAGAAGCGTCTGACTTACCTTGCGATGAAGCTTTTGAGGAAGTAAACAAGTACATTAAAGGTGTCTACGACATTCTGAAACAGGAGGCGAATAAAGTTCACAAAGAAAGGGAAGCGTTTGAAGAGGTGGCAAAGAAGCTTGAACATGTCCACTTCTCGAAGATGCTGAAACTTAATGTTGGCGGCCACCTTTTTTCGACAAGTTTGTCGACCATGAATAAAGATCCAGGTAACTTAGATTATGTTTCTTACATTTAAAAATACTTTAAAGGATCTTAAAATTAATTCGAAACATTGTTATGGCGTCACATTGTTCGAATTAGTGTGAACTTCAACTGTAATTGCTTTAAGATTGATCGAAACGATAAAATTGAAGTCTTTTTGGTGAAAAAAGAGCTTGTTGGTCGGGGGAAACCGAAATGAAACGAGGATGGCGAAGGATGGTAAAGATTGGTACTGATTTCAATCGACTGAACTGCGAAAGTACGAACATGTTGTAGGACATATGGAATTGCACGCTCCATGGATCACTCACATGGGAAATTATATGTCACACACGTACATGCGCGTTGGCTGGACATTAAAAATGAAAAAAAAAAACTTATTTCGGGAAACGTTGTAAATGCAGAAACGGATGAAGAAAAAAAGCAAAGAAAACTGTTCCATAGAACTAAGTTACCCGTTGTGTTACCTTATCTCAATAATTGCGACATTTTTCGACCTGAATTAAATGCAATCAACGCCATTTTGTGTGCTTATTCATCCAGGTTCCATGTTACATGCCATGTTTTCTGGAAGGTTTGACACAAAACCTGACGAGGATGGAACCTACTTCATTGATCGAGATGGAACTCACTTCCGGTACATCCTGAATTATCTGCGCACGGGGGAACTTGTCGTCCCCGATGATAAGACTATTCGCCATGAACTGCTGATTGAGGCCAAATTTTATCAAGTTGAAGGAATAATTAAGGCGCTGACACCAAAACTCTTCCAGGATTCAGTGATCCTGTCGTCCGATCAACGCCAGACTTTGTCGAACTGGTGTAAAGACGCTACAGATATCACCAACGCCAGAGACAAATTGTTATACCGAGCCTCTCGCGATGGCTGGGCTGCCTCCCACTTTCACTCCTGTTGTGATAACGCGGGACCAACAGTTACAGTGATCAAGAGTGGAAACTACATATTTGGAGGATATACTGATCAAAATTGGGAAAGTAAGTTTTTTTGGCAACCCTTCATTCTCTTCTTTTGTATTTTTAGAAAACACTTCTTGGAATTTTTCAGCAAGGATACTTCAATTTCGGGCGTTCGGGTGACTGTGTGAACTCTTGCATGTTGTCTGGAAAGTTACACTCTTAAACTGATTTCAATTATCAAAGCCAATAATAATAAAATTTAAGCTCTTGACATGCATAGAAACTTTCAACTGATGGCAATTTTTTTTACAATGTTTTGATCTTTTTGTGCACTACTTTGAGATGTTACTTACTTTGACGATGGTTAAGACGCAAATGTTAGACAAAGAGGGACTGCAAAGAACAGTGAAATAAAAAATCTTATGAACAATTTATATTTAGGGGGAGGGGGGTGAAGAACACCAGAAATTTAAGTAAATATACTGATTTTCCGACCAGTTTTGTATTATACCTGACTTTAAATTTAACCGATCGAATGCACTTGTTTATTAGGATCTTCTGGGGGAATTTATCGCAGAGCGCCGGACTCATTCCTGTTCACCCTTGTTAACGCGAGTGGTCTTCCCCCAACGAAGCTACCTTTATTAACTGGAAAAGAAGATAACGCTCTCCTTTTGAACGGCAACTTTGGGCCGTTATTTGGGTTTGGTGGATTTGATCTTTATATTGTTAATGAACCCAACTCCAATAACTGCAGCTCAAACCTGACCTCTTACCAGTGCCCAACAGGTCAGAATGCAAAAACCTTCTTAGCTGGAACTCAGACCTTCGTGGCGAGTGAGATGGAAGTGTTTGGGTTCTAGAATTGTGACTTTGCAATTTCTTGCCCTATGCTCTGAGAGTAGCGAATGATCATCTTTATCTTCAGGTTTTTATTTATTTATTTTAATTTTTTTTTGTTTCTATTTCTGCATGCGATAGTTCGTTAGATTCTGTCAGAATTTTAATTAATAAAACAATAAGGTATGCACTAACGTGCGTACTGAGGCAAATTTTTCACCTTGTTTTCGTTTTTGTCACTTACTTGTCATCGAGTACTTTTTTTTGCTCTTCGGTATTTTGTTAATTACGTTCCTTTGTTACGCGCTGTATGTAAATTTAGTGAGGTAGTTTGTTGTCTCGCCCCTTTCTTTTTACCAGGGCTTTTTTGTGCCTATCCGTAGTAAATATATCTATTCAATATCTTGTAGCATATAGATATGAAATAAAGCATGGGAAAAAAAAAGCCGATTTTAGTTTGATTTATTTATGGTATTAATTTGGGTAGGAATATTTTAGAGCTTAAATTATCAGAGGTTGGAAATTGAGAGAGAGGCAGAGAGCAAGAAGTACCCGGCGAAAAACGATGCAAGAACCACGCGGAAGAGACGAGCTCGAAAGGCTTCGAAAAAATATCTAGAGAGATGGTACAAAACAAATCGAAAAATTGAAGTAACCCGAAATGCCGCTTAGAACAAGCCAAACATAGCAGGAAAGGTCACGAGTACAGAAGCAAAAATGGTGGGTGGGGGGGGGGGGGGCGCAAATTAAAAAGAACTGGTAAGTAGGGCAAGGGTCGGAGTACAAAGCGAAGTTTAAATTTTATTGAAGAGCAGAAAATTAAAGAGGAAGGAAGGGTCCAAACAAAATGCGAAGGTCTGGTGAATACGAGAGAAGGTCTGGTGAAAATTTGAGAAAACAGTCGAAGAAGCAGTCAAGAACGAAGAGAAAATAGGCATTGAAGGATATGAAAACACGGATAAAATTAGGAGGTAAGACATGTCAGATATTTGAGTTTCAGCATCGTCGTCAACGACATTTAAAGGAACTTATTTCACCTCCAAAGGAACAACTTGCTAGCGACCTTTGAAAGGAACATATATAACTTTTATGATGAGCGAGCTTTAAAGTAACTAAATAGAAATTTGATAAATTTAACTTTGATACGCTAAACATTTAGCCCAAACTTTAGAATTTATAATTTGTAATTCATGTTTAACCCACCTTGCGTTGTCTTTTGTGACGTGACGAGAAAGGTTCAAATGCATTCTGCCATGAGAAGTTGCAAAAATTAGAATTACAAATTTGAGGATCTGTGGGCAGACAACTACATTATCACTGAGGTAGAACGGTCACGCGAGGAAACAGATCACTCCAACTGAATTCATGTGTCGTTAAATTGTCTCTGGCAGAAGAAAGATGTCATCGCCTAAGTCGGAGAATGTAGAGGATTCACTCAGCCATGGAGCCTTTGAGGAACTTCACAAGTATATTAATGACGTCCATGATATTCTGAAGCGGGAGACGAACAAGCTTCGCAAGGAGAAGGAAGCTTTTGACGAGGTGACGAAGAAGCTTGACCATGTTTACTTCTCGAAGATGTTGAAACTGAATGTAGGCGGCCATATGTTCACGACAAGTCTAGAGACCATGACTAAAGACCTAGGTAATTTGACTGCTACTTAGAATAGTACAAAGTCATGTCTGTTAAAGTGATGTCTGTTAAATGAACTTCGATAGCTCAGGAAAGTTTTAGTCTTCTTGGTAAAGACGTATTCCGAAAACAGGGTTTTTTTAAGCACACGAAAGTCAAATGTTAGTGGTTTGATTTTTGGTAGCCAGAAACGTTAACATTTAAGAAGGTAAAGATGTACTATAGAAGAGAAATAAAGAATAAAGAACAGCCATAAGCCCGATAAATTTGAAATGAAACTTGAAACGTGAAGGAAGCTGAAACTTTCGCTTTGAAAGGGTTTGGCTCGAGGAGTCACTCGTGCGTAAACAAACAACTCAATCTTAGGCTTATAATCAAAGGCGTGTATTATTTACTTCGGAAAACCGATGGCTGTGCCTTTACCATTTGTGAAAACATCGAAAGTAATGCAAATGTGTTCATTATGATTGAATTTTAAATTCAATGCGTAAATCTAGTTTTCTCAGAAGAAAATTGGCTTAGAACCGAGGCACAAGAAGACAGTCAAGAGACGTAAAAATAAATATTTAAGCAGCACTCTCTTTCAAAATATGCATTACCCATAATTTTATCCAAACTATTGAATGATTGTTTAATATCTTCAGAATGTTTAAACGCAGTAAAGACAAAAGGGGAATGTTTCAACCACTCGTACCCCTCTCTTTTACCACAGTGGTAGTTGCATTTAGCATGCATGCCCTTATATCAATATACAAGCATGGGATTGATTTCATGCCGGAATATGTTTTTGCTCCTTATCGCAGGTTCCATGTTACACGCCATGTTTTGAGGCAGATTTGACACAAAAGCTGGCAACGATGGATCTTACTTCGTTGATCGAGATGGAACCCACTTCCGTTACATCCTAAATTATATGCGCACGGGAGGGTTTATCGTCCCTAATGATGAGATTATTCGCAAAGAACTGCGAGCAGAAGCCCGATTTTATCAGGTTGAAGGAATGATAAACGAGCCGGAACCAAAGCCATCAGCAGATCCAATCCCGACTGTAGTTCAACCGTTTAAGGATTCAGTGATTCTCTCGTCCACTCAGGGGCAGACTCTGATGAATTGGTTGAAGAACACACCAGGCTTTTCCAACAGCGATGAGCTTTTGGTGTACCGAGCTTCCAGAGATGGTTGGGCTTCTTCCAACTTTCACTTCTGTTGTGATAACAGAGGGCCAACAGTTACAGTGATCAAGAGTGGAAATAACATATTTGGAGGATATACCGAGCTAAATTGGGATAGTAAGTTCTAAACACTGACCTAGTTCTGTTCTGTCAGTTGTTCTCAAACTCTTGTCGGAAAATTTCGATTTCGAAAATTTATTTTTATTTATTTAGGTAGTGCATCACGGAAAACAGCACAAAACTCGTTTCTGTTCAGTCTTGTCAACCCAAGTGGTCTGACACCAACAAAGATGCCTTTGTAGGGTGGACAAGAAGGAGATGTCATATATTGTTACAATAACTATGGACCAATATTTGGAGGTGGAAGTTATCATGACCTTTTTAGCTTTATATTTGAATTGCACCAAACTCCAACAACTGCTCTACATATTTGAATAACGCTTACCAATATCTATCAGGACAAAATGCTATCATGTTTTTAACAGGAAGTCAGTACTTCACGGTGAGTGAAATAGAAGTTTATGGGTTATAGACGTAAAATGAGTTTTTTCCTCGACTGAAATGAGAATGGTTTGTAAACTACTGTCTCTCGTTCATTTTCTTTTCCAAGTTATGGTTGCACGAATATTGTTGACTTGAAAAACAGAAAAATCAAAACTGCAGAAAAACTAGTAATGGAAAAGATTATAATGTGTGTTCGTTTAGTTTGAAAAATAGCTGAGTTTTTTAAATACTGTTTTTAAAATCCTAATTATTGAGACTTTTCCATTGTCTGTAACGAAGATGATGGTGCGCAAATGCTCGCAAATTTTATCATATTCTTTTGTTTGTCAAAACTCATATCAAAGTTATTAACCCTCCCTAGAATAAAAATAAAATATTCAGTAGGGCGTGCTTTGCACTTTTCTTGTTCTTGCTCGGGCTGAGTTATTCAAAGCTGGGTTAAGATAGCCAAGGGTAAGTCTCAAATCTGATTTCATATCTAAAAGGTTTAAAAATATTATATTATCAGTATTACTATTTTTGTCTACAACTTGATGATTGGATTCCCTAGAAAGAATAAAGAAAATTAAACCAAAAAAGGCTTTTGAACATAAGAATAAAGAACCCGGATTAAAATTTAGCCATAGGTTAACGAAAGCCCCCGCGAACAACTGAGCCTGTTCCTAGTTTACACGGTATTTTTACTGCTTAAAATGTAGCAATTAGAGAAGAAAGGGAGTGCTCTGGTCTGTTACTGCACTACGTAACTAGCTTTTGCCTTGTTGATAACCGCAAAACATATTTAAATGGTCCGTCTGTGGGACCCATTCAGGGAATTTTTGCGTGGATGTATGCGAATATTCCTTTATTTGATTCGGAATTTAATAAGAAACCACAAAAAAAAACAACAACAATAACAACAACAATAACAACAACAAAAGCAAAAACAACTAAAGCTGAAGCAAAATGATATCATATGGCACTTAGGGAAGTCTTCTATTCTGTGACGCAAAACAGGTTCTTAACTATGTCGACGGAAGTGCTTCATTTTGTGTCACATAGGTTACGTGTTGCATGACCATTCTAGTAATACATTATGTATCATTTCCGGAAGGATTCTCGGAATTGATTGTTCACGATACCTTTGCATACCTGAGAAGGCACGGTAACATCACTTCCTTCTAGTAAAGAAAGATGTCTTTACCAAAATAGCTCGAAGAAGCGTCCCACTTATCCTGCGATGAAGCTTTTGATGAAGTAAACAGGTACATTATAGGTGTTTACGACATTCTGAAACAGGAGGCGAATAAATTTCAGAAGGAGAGGTAAGCAATCAATAGGTGGCGAAGAATAGACTTTTTTCAGTTAGCTGTCTAAACTCCTTTTTCTGCATGGCCAGGTGGGTGTGTCACACATATGCAATGACCGGTAGTGAATTTCCCGGGCTCACTTGGAACTCTATCAGCTTATCGGCTGGTTAGAACAATTTATTTGCAAGAAGCTAAGAAAATTTCAGATCTGAGTTTAGAGAATGTTCCCTCCTTTGACCAGCTCGGTACAGCTGGGAGACCGCTGAACTGTGAAACTGGCGGATAGTCGGGGGTTAATTCGAGACCCAGACCGGACCATAGTTAGGTTCGTTAAACAAAAAAAAAAAAGAATAGCGCCTCCACTCCCTAAATATGAGTAGGCAAAATACGTTAGCCTTATTGTACTTGTTTTACGAAATAAATTCAAGACCAAGCCTATCAGATTTTAATCCTGTAGCGCAATAAGGAGCCTTTCGAACAATCTTGCGTATTGTTTCTAAACTAAATTGAATTGTTTTTGTTAAAGAAGAAGGGCAAAGTAACATTCTGCTTTATGACTGAGCTACGCAAAATTGACTTATTTTCCCTTGTCGTTAAACTCTAAACTAATATGTAACTGGGTTCTCTGTGTGAAATTATTTCAACTCATATAAAAGTGTTCCTAAATTATTTTCAAGGGGATTGTATCCTGGAAAAAAAATTTCGCGTAAATACTTATGAACAGTCCAATTTTTAATTTAAAAATTCTCGCTTCCATCGCGAGAGTGGAAAATTTGTTCGCAATTTACCAAAACCTAGGGTGAAATAATATCAACAAGCACTTTGAGGAAGTCTTGTAATCAGTGACAAAAGTAGGGTCTCTTTGTAACAACGCTTAATCGCGTTTGCTCCTACTTTTAGACATGCGTGTGACTAGTCAATTATGCATTGCTTCCGGCAAATTGAATGATTCCCGGAATCAATTGTTTGTGTTAACTTTGCATACCTGAAAAGGCTCGGTACTATCTCTTTGTGCTGCGCTAAAGTGTCTTGCTGTTCTAGTAAATCGAGATGTCTTCATCAAGAGAGCTCGAAGAAGCGTCCGAATTACCCTCCGATGAAGCTTTTGAAGAAATAAACAAGTATATTAAATGTGTCTACGACATTCTGAAACAGGAGGCGAATAAAGTTCACAAAGAAAGGAAAGCGTTTGATGAGGTGGCGGACAAGCTTGAGCATGTCCACTTCTCAAAGATGCTGAAACTTAATGTTGGTGGCCACCTTTTCTCGACAAGTTTGTTGACTATGAATAAAGATCCAGGTAACTTAGGTCATGTTTGTTACATTTAAAAATACATATAGTAAGAGTCACTGACTAATAAGAGCTGTTAAGGGATCTTGAAATAATTTCGAAATATTGTTATGCATGGCGTCACGGTGTTTCGAATCACAATGAGGTCAACTATAATTGCTTTAAAGGACAAGGTCACTCGAAAAATCGCATATCTTTTGTAGCCACCAATAAATAGTTTATACTAAGCCGAGTTAGCTACCGTTTTTTTCAGTTTCCAAAGTTGCTCCGATCTTAATGAAAATCCACTTAAAAGTAGCCAAAATGCGCCGCCATTTGAATAGCTAAATAGCTTAGATATGACTACAAACCGTCCAACTTCCCACTACCCCCCGCGTGTTTCGATGGTTTACCTTTCGATCGTGATCATGACCGCTCTTAAACAGTATCGTTTCAAGCCAAAACGAGCTCAAAGTGCGGAAGAAACAATGACTAAGAAGGTGAAATGAGTAATCAACTAGCGACTACGGATACGTGTTCTTGAAGCTCATGCCAAGTGCTACTAACGCCGAGAGAGCGCATTCGCTGTCAGAAATAACCAGATTTGAAAAACAACACGGAGGATACAAATAACAAATAAATATACAAAAGATCGTCGGCCATAACGAGTGAATACTTTCAACGGAAAGTGGTGTCTTCTTTTACAACAAGTTTTGGAAATGAGCTGAAACGAACTAGGTTTGTATTTAACTGCGTGTATTTGTTCATGTCTCAATGTGACTGATGTATCTTTAACTTCAAGCTTTCCTAGTGAGAGTGGATCATAATACTATTAAACAGCTAGTACTTATTTTTTAAATTGGATTCGGCACTGATGCAATGAACAATCTACGCTGTCCACTAGTTTCATTCAGTGGATAATGTTACTCAGCTAAGTTTCAGAAAAGGTGTCGCTGACGGTAAAAGCAGAGTGTGATTATTTGAAAAGATTGTCTAGATTAACTTGTTTAAAGTTTATTTTTGACAGATACGAGAAGTAATCTCAAGAGTAACCAATTGGGTATAAAAATGCAACAGGGTAAAATGAAACTGCATATCCCGGATATTCTCGTCGCACCTTTCTACAAGGGCTTACATTTTGGCATAACTTTAATAAGTTAGTCTGAGATGATTCAATTAAGATAGAGCATATTTTATGCTTGAAGCTTACCGACATGACAAGAAAAAAAACACACCTAGCTAATTTAAGTACTGAATAAATACCATGTAGATTTCACCAGTCATTGCATCCTTAACCCTTTACATCCTGGCTCAAGTATGCATATTCTCCATACTGTTCTGTATGCATTTTTTTACGTTGTAGCCTGCAGTGTAGGCGTCTTATCAGCGCCAGCTAACATTATAAACTCGCGATCGTTTATCTGACCGGCCATGTTTGATTTGGAGTTGAAGTGAACGATGTAGAAGTCCTAAATGTAATAACTGTCCTAAATGTAGTAAAGTCCCAAATGTAATAACATTTGGTCCTAAATGTAATAAAGCCCTAAATGTAATAACGTTCGGTCCTAAATGTAATAAGGCTCCTATGCAATCGTTTAACTGGGCTAACGTTGAGATGTGAAAGTGACAGCTGTTGCATCAAAGAATCCTTTGACCAGTATTCATGGTATATTGCGGGCTCACTAATATTAATCAGCGTCTTTTTATTTGCTAAAGACGTAGATTGAAAAGCCCTGGCTACAAAACCTTATATTGATACTGATGTGTTTTGGCAGCAAATTGACGGACGCAAAAGCAATGAGAGCGCTGACCAATAGCTCTCTTTATATCATTGGCTCAGACTCTTAAGTGTAACAGATTTTGACGATATACTTCTGTCATCAGTGCTGAAGTTAACATTTCACGAACCGAATTACAAGGAAAAGGAAGTCCACCGACTTATACGTTAGACAAATTCCGGGCTTGGAAGTGCATTTTTTGTACTGTCTTCCCTTGCCAGAATTGTATGGGTCTGCATAAAATATATTCATATGCGTTATTGACCAAGCGTGAGGTCAAAATAGCTGGATGTTGGCCGAGTTCTTTTTTTTTTTTGCGTTTTTATTGGACGGAGACGAAGTCTTCGTCCATAAAAAAGAAGAAAAAGAACGAGACTAATACCCAGAAATCTTGACCATACAAGCTTGGTCAATAGAGTTTATATTCTCCCGGCTTAATCATTAAAGGATTCATTGTATAGCAAAATATTTCGCTTTGATAAGAATCAAGATTGGCCTGTTTATTTCGAGAGCCGATAGTGAAAGCCAACTGTGCTTGCAGCACAATAAACTCAAGAAGGTCGTTTATTTTTTTCTATGTTTATGCCATCATCGTCCAAAAGTTACGAACTTTGTAAGTTTTCTTGCGTGGGATCAATACGGGGAATCCCGAGCGGGCGAGGGTGGGCCCATCATGCCCGCTCAGGTAGCCAATCAGAACACAGGATTCACTTCATCTTGCCCGCGTGCGCTGCTAGCTTTATGATAAAGTGACTTACAGAGCAAGATGTCTACTGACCAATCATATGTTATCCCATTTCACGATCAAAGGTCTCGACATGTTGCCTTTTTTCCAAATGATTAAAATCAATTGACACTAAATAACATTGATGTGCAAAATTTCAGTAACACAACTGATAATAATAATTTTCTTTTGGATTAACATGTGACACAGCGAAATCATTCAAACTGCTCTAAAATGTTGCATCACTACTAAAGACTTTAACACGAACGATAACATCAACAATAGCATGCTAGTTCATCATCAATTGTAGTCAATTTCTTGTCAAAAAAAGTCTTAATGATTACGTACCAATCGATTCTATCTTATTGAGCTTCCAGCCAAGCACTAGCCCACTTTGGGCTGGAAATGACTTTCTTTAACTCGATCAATAGACCACTTTAAGGACCATACTTCGACTGCTGATATTTCTTATGTCTAGCAAGTAGAAAGACGCTGATTTATATCAGCGAGTCCGTAATGTGACATGTATACTGGTCAGCGGTTTTTTGGTGCAACGGCTGTCACTTTTACATCTCATTGTGGATGTCCGCCATAACAACAATGCACTGAAGGAGTTAAACGATTGCATTGGAGGCTTATTACATTAAGTACTAAATTTTATTACATTTAGGACTTTATTACATTTAGGACCAAATGTTATTACATTTAGGACTTTATTGCATTTAGGAAAGTTATTACATTTAGGACTTCAACAGACGATGGGGGTAGGGAACGGGGAAAAGGCAAAAAGACGCCTGCCCGAAGAGGCTGTTAAAATGCTATACACCCCCTGATTAGCTGCGCTTCACTGAATTTCCGGAAATAGGCAGGTAACCAATAAAAATAAGTTAAATTAAAATTCAGAAGCACTGCCTTCCGACAAAAACAAACATACGTAGAGCCGATAAGTAAAACCGTGAGGCAGTTTATTTTTTAGCCAGAAAAGAAATGGCTTCGACAAAACCTCCTCCGCGGTCATAATATGAGCTGATATTTGCTGGTAGTTGAAGTAGCTTAAAAATGTGAGGCATGTTGCGTAAATGGACGCCCACGGGACAAATATTTCAAATATCAAAACTTCCCGACACACTACTATCGTCATTGCTCCTAGAATGTTCTGGCAAAATTTTACGAAAATTGGTCACATCCATATACCCTATAAATTCTCTCAAAGTGGTTGTATTCCTCCCAAAATCAAATGCGAGATTTTAGCTCATAAAGCTTCGCAAACAACTTGCGCCACGCCAGGAGATTATCTCGCCTCCTGAAACCGCAAACCAATAAGACAGCGAGACTTCCTAGCGTCAATGACGATGGATCAAGATTCCCCCGGGAAAAGTGACCCATTGCAGACACGTTTTATTAAAGTTGGTCCTTGCATAAAGAAAGGAAACTTCGTTTTTAACATCATGTACGGCAAATTTTGGCTTGACGGCGTCTTCTTTGTTCGATATCCCTTTATTCAGGGATGATTTTCTGGGGAGAAATGAGATGTTAGCTTCTCTTAGAGTCAAAGGGTTAAAACCAGTATAATTCCCATCTGCGTTCGCAAACCCCTTGCATAGTTGTAATGACACCGAATAGAATCCCTTAATTCTCCTCTTCCAAGCTTTCCATAGATCCACAAGATGTGCTGTTGATAAGCTGTATAGAGATAGTGACTATAGATAAAATAGGTAACATTTTGTTAAAAAAAATTTAAAAAACAGACAAACAAAAAATAAATGAACAAAAAAGTTTTTTTGCTCCTTATCGCAGGTTCCATGTTACACGCCATGTTTTCTGGCAGATTTGACACAAAACCTGACGAGGATGGATCTTACTTCATTGATCGAGATGGAACCCACTTTCGGTACATTCTGAATTATTTGCGCACGGGGGAGCTGATCGTCCCTAATGACGAGATTATTCGCAGAGAACTGCTGGCAGAGGCCAAATTTTATCAAGTCGAAGGAATAATAAACGAGCTGGAACCAACGCCATCAGCAAATCCAATCCAGACTGTAACTCAACCGTTCAAGGATTCAGTGATTCTCTCGTCCAATCAGAGGCAGACTTTGATGAATTGGTTGAAGAACACACCGGGCGTTTCCAACAGCGATGAGCTTTTGTTGTACCGAGCTTCTAGAGATGGTTGGTATTCTTACAACTTTCACTCCTGTTGTGATAACAAAGGGCCAACAGTTACAGTGATCAAGAGTGGAGATAATATATTTGGAGGATTTACTGAACAAAGTTGGGAAAGTAAGTTCTAAACACTAACCTACTTCTTTTCTTTCAGTTGTTCTAAAATTATTGTCGGATGGTTACGACAAGGATGCTTAAATAATTATAATGCTAACGGAGTATTTGAAAAGGCATAAATGTCCCCCAACGTTTGAGTGTACAGGAAAAGAATGTTAATTTGTTATAAATTCCCACCTTGAGGATTTGAAGTAGATTAAAGATTGGACAATAGATACAATCAACAATTGGATTCCATTTTATTCTGTCTGTTCCGTCGCAGAGGACATCAAAATGAGTTAAGAACAGGCAAATGACCCATTGTGTTTCTAAATCAGGCACCGAATTTGACGTCACATTATGCACCCACGCACGCTAAAACATTTACAGCGTGTTGTTTCGAGTGTGACTGATGGTCGCGTGTCGGGGCTCGCACCTTTCCAAAGATCGCAATTCATTATAAATTGTCGCGACGCGCTACTTTAAGTAAAACACCGTTGTTTCTAGGGGAATCTCCTTTCCTCAGCCTTAGAAATTGAGAGACCTTCTTGGACGTTCATCAAAAGAAAATATAACTCCAAAACAAATGTAAATTCCAAGGGAGGGTCTCTACTTCTGAAAATGTTTGTCCTTATTCTTTGTAAAATTACGAACTTTTGCTTCAGAAAACCGACAGGTAGAGGGCGTAGAAACGTGATGAACGAAATCGAGTTCAACATTAGTGCCAGTAAGAGGCCGTCAAGATTCCAATATAAAATTATTTCAGAAAATTGTTTCAAATTTGAGCCCCTCGCTGTACAAATAAAAAGGAAACAATTTTGTGGTGACGTCCTGTGCTCTTTCAGATTAAAGACATTCAAAAAAAAAATTGGTGCCTAGTTATCGGATAGCTGAACAACGGAATTTTAAAATTGTCAGATTCTGTTAGCATTTACTTTAACTGGTTGGCTTGTTTTTTGTTTAGATAGTGGATCATACAAAAGTGCAGAAAACTCGTTTCTGTTCAGTCTTGTCAACCCGAGTGGTCTATCACCAACAAAGATGCCTTTGAAGAGTGGACAAGAAAGATATGCTATGTATTGTCATACTGGCTATGGACCAACATTTGGAGGTGAAAATTATCATGATCTTTGTATTTTCAATACACCAAACTGCAACAATAACTTTGCATATTTGAATAACGCTTACCAATGTCCATCAGGACAAAATGTCGAGACGTTTTTAACAAGAAGTGAGACATTCAGGGTGAGTGAAATGGAAGTTTATAGGTTATAGAATTAAACAAGATTTTTTTCCTACGACTGAAGCGAAAATGGTTTATAAACTACTGCCTCTCGTTCATTTACTTTGACAAGTCATAGCTGCACCAATACTGTTGACTTGAAAAAAAGAAAAATCAAACTTTAAGGAAAATAGTGATGGAAAAGATCGTAATGTGTGTTCGTTTGGTTTGATGAATTGCTGAATTGTTTAAATAGTTTTTTAAAATCCTGATTATTGAGACCTTTCCACTGTCTATAACGCAGATGATGTTGCGCAAATGTACATGTTCGCAGTTTTGTTTATCCATAAATGTTTGTGGAACTAAGGTTTAAAACCGTTGATGTTAATAAAAAACACCATCAAACAGAGTCTTTCCCATACTTTTGTTTTCGTTATCACCCTGTCTTCCTTCCCTTTTTCAGAAGCCCCGGCACTCTGTATGCACCACAGGTAACTTTTCGACCGTATTTGACAGGAAAGGGAGAGGAGGGGGGGGGGGGGGGGAGAAGCTATTCCCTTTAATAAAAGCACTCAGAATAATGCTCTCAAAACTTGCAAAGCAATCTCTCGACATTGTCAGCGGATAGTTCCATTGCGCAGCGACGAGCAGTTTATTTTTAAAGAAAAACCCTGATGTGCACGTGAATTGGCCACCGTTAAGAGATTCTTCAGATGATCTTTCGCGTATTGTCCCATCGTCAGAGCTAACTCAAAACGTCAGCTTGAGAACATCTCAACGGTGGCCGATATCCATTTTCAACAGGTACTGACCCATTGATTTTAATTTTCATATTTAGTGAATCAGAGGTATTGCTTTATTGGGCATCACCAGGAAACCTTTACGCAAGTGTTATTGTTACCTTTTTTTTTCTTTAGGAAGCATTTTTTACATATGATCTAGAGGTGTCTGGAAAGAAAAAAAGTCTTGACAAATTAGGATCTTTAAAGAAAACATTGAATATGTGGTTCCAAAGAGACCTCTCCATCGTTGGTAGGATAAACATAATTAAAACATTAGTTCTTTCAAAACTGGTCTTTATCTGCAGCGTCATGAACACCCCTTTAAAGAAGTAAACAAGATCACGTTCGACTTTATCTGGAATCCCAAACCCGCCAAAATAAAAAAGACTACCCTTATCGAGCAAAAAAACAGCTGGCGGCTGGAACATGAAGGATTTTTCTCTCTTTGACAAAGCGCTTAAGTTAAACTGGGTGAAACGGTTATGCTCTGACTCGGATACTCCACAGCAGTACATACCAAAATCGCTCCTAGCCGATGTTGGCGGCACAGAACTGTTTCAATGTAATTATGATTATAATCTCCTTGATCTAGACAACCATCTTCCTGCTTTCTACAAACAGATCATTTTTTACTGGCAGGACATCGTAACGGGCACACCTAAAAATAAAAATGAGGTTCTCTCACAGCAAATCTGGAATAACCGATTTTTAACTGTGAATAAGAAAATGGTATTCTTTCCTCATTGCTATCGAGCAGGAATAAAACAAATCTGGGACCTTTTTTACTCCTGTGAGGGCCATTTCCTTCCATTTAATTCTTTTTGCAATAAATTCAATGTCAAATGTAACTTTTTACAATATTATAGCATTCTTTCTTCTGTTCCCCAAAATTGGAAGAAAATATTGCAAGAAGGTTCCAAAGACCCAGTTACGCCTCCCACCTCAATCTGTTCACTGTCATGCAAGACTATATACAGTATGCTGCTTAACCTTAAAGATCTTCCTCCCCCAACTTCTGAGAAAAAACTTTTAGAGTCTGGCGCCGAGAAAAGTGACTTGACTAGAATCTACCTCCTATCATTCAAAGCCACGAGAGAAATTAAATTGACGATGTTCAATACAAAATCATTCACCGAATTTTACCAACGAATAGCTTGTTACACAAAAATGAAAAAAGTTGCCTCGCCCTCCTGTCCCTTTTGTCCTTCTGAGTGTCAGACCCTGTGGCATTTGTTTATAAACTGCATGCACGCAAGTTCTTTTTGGATTAGATTCCAGGAGTGGTACTCAATCTCTAGTAATACGAAACTGCTGCTGTCAGAACTAGAGGTCATGTTCGGAATTATTCGCTGTCGCACCTGCTGTTTAGCCCTCAACCATCTCATTATTTTGGGTAAATACTTCTTATATGTTAAGGTTTTAAATACCATAACGTACCAATTCGATGATTTTGTCTCACTTCTGCACGAAAAAATTAATCTAGAAAAATACATTGCAGTCACTTGTAATAAGGAGAAGGAATTCAGGAACAAATGGAAATGTTTTCGTCTTGAAAAAAAATTTTATTGTGTCCTTTTTCTTCTCAACTTTTATATTTTGATATGTTTCTTTTCGCTACCTATTTATTTAATAATCTATTAAATTCTAGAAAATTAATACCCTCTGTAGTGTAATTAACAAACAAAATTCTTATTAGTGACTCGAACAATTAACATGCAAACAATAACGTAAATAGATCAATTGTAATTAAATTTGACTAGTGTTATTGTATTGTAATATATGTATTGTAAGTAGTGCAAGTTAATGTAGTGTAAGCATCGTGTAAGAAGTAAGTATAGTGTAAGTACATATGTAAGTATAATATATAGAAAGAAATAAAAATAAAAAATAATAATTAAAAAAAATGAAATTTAAGGTAGTTAACATGCTTCCAACGTGGCGGCGGCGAATGGAATATTATTCAGTTCATTTTCAAATAACAGCTTACGTGTTAAATAACGATTTAAGATATATGAAATTCATATATGTGCACTGCTGTGAAGAAACGAATATAAGAGATCCTCGCAGCTTAGTTGCGAGGATCTCTTATATTCGTAGATTACGAGTTGATTGTTACGCAATAGCGCGGTGGATGACACTCTTGGCACGGAGCTATTTTTGAGCATTTTTAAAAAGCCTTACTAGCTTCGGTGAAATAATCTTTTTCTCTTTTTTTTTTGTAAAATTCATTGTCATCTTAGTTACTTAAGTTTCTGGAAGATTTGTTATTCTTGAAAATTTAGCCAACATTTTTCATTTTGTAATATTGACTAAATCCTTTTCATCTTCTCCATTATCAATAATCCTTGTTCTTCAATATTTTATTTTAACCAGTTTCACGCGTTTTACCCTAACAAACTAATCTTGTGAGCTTACCTTTGATTTAAAGATAACTTCGAAAGTTGCCAAAATAACTTAGTAGTCTGACGTAGCTCCCTCCTGCTCTGGAAATTTAAGCTTCACATCTCGATGAAAACTCAATCAGCTAGAGAGCTTGGCTCAAAGGCTTTCTTCTGTTAAAAAAAAAAAATAATAATAAAATAAAAACAAAATTATGATCTTCTACCTTATAAAACCTCGTGAAAGGTGAGGTATTCGTATGGAACTTCGTTCCAGGCATCGTCCTGAGATGATCATTTCGACGTCGCAAAGATTTAGCACGTTCAAGTTTGTGCCATTGATAAATCTGGAAAACTACTTAAATTATCCTTGTATTTTGTCGATTTTTGTTGAATTTGTCCGTTTTCTTCAAGATGCCAAAACCGGGCGTTCCCAAGAATATAACGGCAAGCACAATACCCCACAAGTTTCAGGAAGCAAAGCAAAGGATGGCACCTCTATATTGTTTAGTAACTTCCTTAACATTGACTGCAGGTCCAGATGGCATGGCAGCTGATTGCGTGCAAAACTACGTAGGTGAGAAGTGCAACCAAGTTTACGTCAAGTGTAGCGACACACATGCTGCGTGATACAGAATTAAAGTTGGTAAGAATGGTGAAGACTGGTACTGATTGCAATCGACTGACGAGCTGCGAGCGTGTGGGCACGATGCCAGAGGTACAGGCCATGGCCTAGATCCCTTTGCCTAAAAGACAAATTGAACTTCACTCTCCGTGGATCACTTACATGGGAAATTTAACGGCACAAACGTTGGCTGGACATCAAAAATGAAAAAAAAAGCCTAAATGGGGAAACGTAAATGCAGAAACAGATGGAGATAAAAAGCAAAAGAAAAGTCTTCCATGGAATAAACTTATCCATTGTGGTAGCTTATCTCAATAATTCCGACCTATTTTGACCTGAATCAAATGTAACTAACGCTAATTTGTGTGCTTATTCATCCAGGTTCCATTTTACATGCCATGTTTTCTGGAAGGTTTGACACAAAACCTGACAAGGACGGAACCTACTTCATTGATCGAGATGGAACCCACTTCCGGTATATCCTGAACTATCTGCGCACGAGGGAGCTTATCGTCCCCGATGATAAGACTGTTCATTATGAATTGCAAACTATAAGGCCACGTTTTTTGAAGTGGAAGGAATAATAAAGGCGCTGACACCAATACTCTTCCAGGATTTAGTGATCCTGTCGTCCGATCAAGGCCAGACTTTGATGAACTGTTGTAAAGACGCTACATTAGGTTGGAAAGTGAGAGAGAGGCAGAGAGCAAGAATTACCCGACGAAAAACGATTCAAGTACCACGCGAAAGAGACGAGCTGGAAAGGCCTCGAGGAAATATAGAGAGATGGTACATAACAAATCGAAAAATTAAAGTAACCCGAAATACCGCTTAGAGCAAGCCAAACATGGCAGGAAAGGTCATGATTAGTAGGGTAAGGGCCTGAGTAAAAAGCGAAGTTTCTTTGAAGAACAGAAAATTCAAGAGGAAGAAAAGGCCCAAACAAAATGCAAAGGTCTGATGAATACGAGAGACAAGGAATTTGAGAAAACAGTCGAAGAAGCAGCCAAGAACGAAGAGAAAATAGGCATCGAAGGATATGAAAACACAGATAAAATTAGGAGGTAAGACATGTCAGATATTTGAGTTTCAGCATCGCAGTCATTGACGTTTAAACGATCTTATTTCACCTCCAAAGAGACAGTTTGCCAGCGACCTTTGAGAGGAAAATGTGTAACTTTTATGGTGAGAAAAAAAAAAGTAAGCTAAATAGAAATTTGGCTAATGTAAGTTTAATACGCTTGTGGCTAAAAATCTAGCCCACACTTTAGGATTTATCACTTGCAATTCGTGTTTAACCCACCTTGCGTTATCTTTCGTGACGTGACGATACAGCCCTGAGGTTCAAATGCATAGTATCATGAGAAGTTGCAAAAATTAGAATTACAAATTTGAGAATCTTAGGGCAGAGCGGTCACGCAAGGAAACAGATCACTCCAACTTAGGTTAAGTTTGCTCGGTGTTTGTGTGAGGGGTTGGATATCAATGGAAGTTACGATGCGGACATGGAAAGGGAAAGAATAACGTCTGTCATATTTGGCTCGTGTTATGATGACCTTGATTGGTAAGTTTTGATGGTGTCAAATACCATTGTTTCTTAAACGCCGCAACACTCTCTTTGACGTCCCATATCTTTTGTTCAATTATAGGAGAAATACCGCGGTCGGTAAGATTTGCAAAGACGACGATGGAGAGGATTGGCTTGGTTACGATAGCTGCGGCCAGTTTTTCCATGCAAGTTGTCTGGATGTGCCTTTCGCGGAGACGCTTACGCAACATTTCACCTGCCCTTAGGGTGGCTTCTTGTCAGCACAAGTAGAGTTTAAATTTTAAAGCTGACTATAACAACGAACCAGATGATGAACTTAATGTCATATACAGACCTTAATTTGCAAGATAAGAAATACAGTCCTTGGTAGTCAATTAAGATAGATTTTCACGAGCGTCAATGGTGCAGAATCGTAACTTGATGGAGCCGACAGTGGACAACATCCCAAAATTCAAACTTTGTGATTTTTTTCTCGGCTTAAACGCTAAGTCAGTTGTTCAATTGAGTAGGAAGAAAAACATTTCGAACGGAAAACAGCATTATTTGCACGTGTGGATCTTTTGAGAAAAGGTCTCCTAAACGAGTGGTCTTGATTGTAAAAATTTAAGGAATGGTAAATACATTAGCCTTAACATGGCTGTTTCTCGAAGCTCAGTGTTTTCCTACTTGCCTTTTTTCCACGTGAATTGGGGGCGATTGAATAGATATAATATGCAGTAAAAGAACTTCAGCTGATAGAAATTTTAAATTTCTTATCTTAGGCTGTGGATACAAAATTCAAGTGAAAAGGAAGCCAACTGTGATTAATGCTTTGAACAAGTCAAGATACGTTTTTTTCGTCACACAACAAGTTACATAACGTGAATATCATTCTTCTTGATGCCTTTCCCGGTGTCACCAATGCCTTTCCCGATGCCTCCGTTGGTTAATAGAGCATTAAAAGTATTGTTCCAGTAAAAGCTTGAGGAAAATTGCTTAACTTTTTAAGTAGCGAAGTGTAACTTGGTAACATTTCGGCTTTACAACACGATTTTTTTCTGCAACTACAAAACGTACATTTAATTCTTCTTGGTACCTTTCGGATGCCACCGATGCCTTCATTGTTTATTAAAGCAGTAAAAGATATATGTACAATCAACACTTTTGAATTGCTTAGCATTTTATTTAGCGAAGTAAACTGTTTACACTTCGGCTTTACAACACGATTGTTTCCTGATACTACAAATGATCTGTCTATATATGAAGTATGAAAGTTGTTTCACCGCTGACCACTCGTATTTGGGTCGTTTTTTCTATCCCCGCTCGTCGCCCGTGATGTAGTAACTCCCAACTGAATTCAAGTTAGTGCGTCGTTAAATTGTCTTGTCTCTCGCAGAAGAAAGATGTCGTCATCGCCTAGGTCGGAGAATGTAGAGGATTCACCCAGCGATAGAACCTTTGAGGAACTTCACAAGCATATTAATGACGTCCACAACATTCTGAAGCGAGAGACAAACAAGCTTCGCAAGGAGAAGGAAGCTTTTGACGAGGTGGCGAAGAAGCTTGAACATGTTCACTTCTCGAAGATTTTGAAACTGAATGTCGGCGGCCATATGTTCACGACAAGTCTAGAGACCATGACTAAAGATCCAGGTAATTTGACCGTTACTTAGAATATTACAAAGTGATATCTGTTAAATTAACGTCGAAAGGTCAGGAAAGTTTCGGTGATCTTTGTGAAGACGTATTCCGAGAACATGGTTTTTAAAACTACGAAAGCCAAATGTTGGTGGTTCTATTGCTTGGTAACCGAAAATATAAACAGTAAGGAGATAACGATGTACTAAAGAAGAGAAATGAAGAATGAAGAACAACTGCTAGTCCGACAAATTTTACATAAAATGAGAACGTGACGGAAGCTGAAACTTCCACTTTCAAAAGGTTTGGCTCGAGAATTCACTCATGCGCAAACGAACGATTCAGTCTTCCGCTTATATTCAAAGGTGCTCCTAAATTAATAGAGGAAATCAGTTGCGGTGCATTTGCCATGTATGGAGTTTACTGAATAAATTCCATAAAGGAAGTTGGTGGGCAGACAAACGCTAAAGGGGCAAATATAAACAGCCCGAATATTTTATGATTCGTGACGGAGGTGACACTCTAACTATTTAAGGGTTTGGCTCAAAGAATCGCTTATTCACTCACAAATTAACGATTCAACTAGAAATGGACCACTAAACTTTAAAATATTCAGTTTGAATCGCCTTTTTCTATGAATTCTGGAAGAAAATTACAGATTCTCTTAGTTGACGGTAAAGAACAACTTTTTTTCAGAATGCATATTCTCGACAAAGTTCTCCACACATATCCGTTTTTTTTTTTCATAAAGCGAATGCGTTCGTTTTCATTCGATTTTAAATTCAATGCATAAATCTTGGTGCCTCAGATCTAGAGGAAGATCGACTTAGAACCGAGGCACAGGAAGCCATTCAAGAGACGTACAAACAAATATTTAAGCAGTGTGCTCTTTCAAAGTATGCACCACCCATGATTTTATCCAAACTATTTAATGATTGTATGATATCTTCAGACAAAGGGGGAATGTTCCAACCACCCCAACCTCTCTCTTGAGCCACAGTGGGAGTGCCATTAAGTATGCATACCCAAAGATCAGTGTACAAGCATGTATTTGACATAAGCTGATTTCTTGGCGAAATATTTTTTTGCTCCTTATCGCAGGTTCCATGTTACACGCCATGTTTTCAAGCAGATTTGACACAAAACCTGGCGAGGATGGATCTTACTTTATTGATCGAGATGGAACCCACTTCCGGTACATCCTGAATTATCTGCGCACGGGGGAGCTTATTGTCCCTAATGACGAAATCATTCGTAGAGAACTGCTGGCAGAGGCCAAATTTTATCAGGTCGAAGGAATGATAAACGAGCTGGAACCAACGCCATCAGCAGATCCAATCCCGACTGTAGTTCAACCGTTCAAGGATTCAGTGATTCTCTCGTTTAGTCAGGCGCAGACTTTGATGAATTGGTTGAAGAACACACCAGGCGTTTCCAACAGCGATGAGCTTTTGTTGTACCGAGCTTCCAGAGATGGTTGGTTTTCGTTCAACTTTCACTCCCATTGTGATAATAAAGGGCCAACAGTTACAGTGATCAAGAGTGGAAGTAACATATTTGGAGGATATACTGAACAAAGTTGGGATGGTAAGTTCTAAAAACTGACCTTGTTCTCTTCTGTCAGTTTTTCTTTAATTCTTGTTAGAAAATTACGACAGGGATGCTAAAATAATTATTGCAAGCAGAGAATTTGCGAAGGCATAAATGTCCCCCAACATTTGAGTTTTCAGAATAAGTTTGCTAATTTGTTATAAATTCCCACCTTGAGGACTTGAAGCAGATCAAAATCTTGACAATAAATATAATTAATAATTAGATTCCATTTTAATTTATGTCTGATCTGTCACAGAGGATATCAAAATGAGCTAGGAACAGGAAAATAGCAAATGAGCTATTGTGTTTCTAAATCATGCACTGAATTTGACGTCATATTACGCAACACAAGCTCAAGCACGAACCCGCGCACGCTAAAACATTTACAGTGTTGTTTCGAGTGTAACTAATGGTCGCGTGTCGTGGCATGCGCCTTTTGAGTCGCGGCTTTTCAAAGGTTGCAATTCATTAAAAATTGTTGCGACTCGCCACCATAAGTAAAAAACCATTGTTTCCAGGAGACTCTTTTTTCCCCAGCCTTAGAAATTGAGAGACCCTATGGACAATCATCAAAAAAGAACATAACTCCAAAAAGAATATAAATTCCTTGCGAGGCGTTTCTGTTTCTTGATTGTATTTTCTAAAATACAATCAAAAATTAGATTCCATTTTAGTTTGTGTCTGATCGTTCACATTGTTTGTTTGTTTTTCTGGTTTTGTTTTGTTTTTTTCTTTTTATAATTTAGATAGTGGATTGAAAAGTGCAGAAAACTCGTTTCTGTTCAGTCTTGTCAACCCGAGTGGTCTGTCACCGACAAAGATGTCTTTGAAGAGTGAACAAGAAGGATATGCTATGTATTGTGATAATAACCATGGACCAATATTTGGATATAGAAGTTATTGTGACCTTTATATTTGCAATGTACCAAACTCCAACAACTGCTCTACGTATTTGAATAACACTTATCAATGTCCATCAGGACAAAATGCTAACATGTTTTTAACAGGAGGTCAGTACTTTTTGGTGAGTGAAATGGAAGTTTACAGATTATAGACGTAAAACGAGTTTTTTTCTCGACTGAACTGAGAATGGTTTGTAAACTGCTACCTCTCGTTCATTTTCTTTTACAAGTTATAGTTGCACGAATACTGTTGACTTGAGAAACAAAAAAATCAAAACTGTAGAAGAAATAGTAATGGAAAAGATCGTAATGTGTGTTCATTTAGTTTAATAAATTGCTGAGTTTTTTAAATACTGTTTTTAAAATCCTGATTATTGAGACCTTCCCATTGTCTAGATGATGGTTCGTAAATGTACGTGTTCGCATTTTTGATCATATACATATGTTTGTAGAACGTAGATGTAGAACCATCGATATCAATTAAAAAATAAAAAAGAAAAAAAAAAAAAAAGAAAAATTAGGGATTCCTTCCCATACTTTTCTTTCCGTTACTACCCTGTCCTTCTTCCCTTTCTCAAAAGCCCCGATACTCAGTATGCACCACAGGTAACTTTTTCGACTGTAGCGTTACAGTATTGTCACCTAGTTTTTTCACGCCAGCAACACTCGATCCAGAGAGACGTAGATTTATATGTAGTAATAGAATGCTTGAAAAATATGCAGATATTTTACGATCGAAGCAGGTAAATAATTATAGAGATCTGCAGATTGTCCTGAAATTGGACTGGAACTTGCAGTAATATCAAACAACACACAGCATGTGACTTTAAAATCTCCTAAAATGAGCAGTGATGATGATAAACAATCAAATTATAGACTAATAAATGTTTTGTGCCGTACAAAAGCCATATCTGCTGATTTTTGCAAATGTCCAAAATAATAAACGACTGAAGAAAGAAACGTTACGATTTCTCTTCGATTTTTCGCCTAAATGCATCTCTCTAAACGTTGTATGTAGGAATGGAAAATTTCACGTTTAGAGAGATGCATGCTGTGTGTTGTTTGATATTACTGCAAGTTCCAGTGTGCTACAACTTCGGCTTTTACAGAAGAGAAATTCTGCGCTCTCGCTTCAGAGCAAATATCAACAGTTCTATCAGACTAAAAACTGTGCTTCTATCCCGAAAATAAAATTAAAATAGTTTTGTCTTAGTCACTTACCGCCATCGTACATCTCTATGTAGAACTCCGCTAAGCTAACATCTGTTGCGTGACCCAATGACTCTCCCTTGGAATTATTCAAGCGCGTTGTTCATGCTGTCTGCTAGATAACAATCTCAGAATAATCTGCAGATCTCTATAATTATTTACCTGCTTCGATCGTAAAATATCTGCATATTTTTCAAGCATTCTATTACTACATATAAATCTACGTCTCTCTAGATCGAGTGTTGCCGGCGTTTAATTGCGTGACTTATAAAATTTATTAAGAATGACCCACCAGTAATTTGACCAGTAGGCTTCCTACAAATTTCCCTTGATGAAATCCCAAGACATAGTCAGTTGTTTTCGTGAGCAAGGACAATAAATATGAAAGGAAAGGGAGATGCAAATATCTTTATTATTATTTTTTTTTTAGTTCAATAGCAGCTGTACCCTCTCCTGCAGTCTTCCTCTAGATTTTGCAAAGTCCCTCCTTATTTTCTGCCTTGTTCGGTCAGTTTCGACTTCTGAAGTTAGATCATTGGCATCGGCCTCTTCGTTCTCATTCATATTTACGGGGGGGCTCGTCAATAAACCAATTTTTGTTACGGCAGATAACCGGCTGAAGTATCGAGCGATTTGCTGCTGTATCAACCGGTCAGTCTTAGACAACATTTCTGGTTGGTGTCGTCTCTTAAACTCGATATTTGGGAAGTCACATTAGAGGCGGTTGCCCTACCGATGAATAAAATGTTTTGAAATACTGTTCGGAATTCGCATTTTTTCTGCGTGCAATCAAGGGTAGACAAAGTTTCTAAAACATTTGACAAGAATTTCATGGGGTTCACCTCGACAATTTTCGTCAGCCAGAGTCAAGACGCGCCAAGCTAAGCGACATCGCCCTTCAATAAAATAATTTTCCCAAGAATAAATGCGGCGAGCGTGAGGAAACGCACATTTTTTTCATTACTGTGATCAAAGCCCAATGATGAACCTAAATTGATACTTACGGTATCAAACCATTGATTTTGACAGGGTGAGCTTAATGTTTCTGTCGAGGTCGACGTGACTTCACATTAAAAGCGTTTTTGACGGAACAAACTAGTGAGCATCACTGCACGAACTGAGAAAGTAAAAACTTGTATTTATCTCCCACGCGTTTCGTCTGACAATAGTAGAATTCATCAAGGATTTTTTTTCACGTAGAGTAAATAAGCTTGCTCATATACAAATAGTAAATAAGTTGTCTCTTTACTATTGAAGCCAGTGGATAGAATTCGTCAGGTGCGCCTACGGTGTTATAAATGCGTGACATTTTCCGGACATGACATATACGAGTACGTGATCCGTTTGAGGGTCACAGATTTAGTGTAAATATTTGACCCCTCAACATCACGCAATGTCTCTAGTTTACAGAGGTCTTAGAACGTTTAATTATATGGATTTGCCTTCTGCGGGTAGAAGGCTAAAAGCGAATTTCTCAGGCATAATTGCCTTTGATTTCTCAACTGATGTTGTTGCAAACACAGTTTTTGGGAGTCAAGAACAAAAAAAACTCATCAGGACCTTGTTTCATGTTCTAATGGAAATAAATAACAAATCAAAACAAATTCTCTTAAGAAATAAAGTTATAAATAACGGGGGTCCTCTGAAACAAATAGTGATAGAAAAGGATTTCAGTTCTGGTCAATATTGACTTTTCATAGCCTACTTCCAAATCTAAGGGAACGCGCTGAGGGAATAAAAAAACATAAATATGTGATAATGCAAGGAAGGTAATAAAAATACAAATAAAGAAAAATGAGAAAACATAGGAACCCGTGTTGCAGCGTGCAGATATCTTCTGAGCCAGACCTACACACCTAAGCCCGACACCACCCAATACCCACCCGACACCCACTCGAAGGAGTCCTGTATATGAACTAGCTCGCACGTGCACGCAGGAAAGGCCATGACAATCAGCGAAAATAATAGCAAATGCACATGATATTTGCAGTCCAAAAACAGGAAAATAAGATAACAGAAGGATTAAGAACTTTCTAGAAGTGTCTTCTCGGCAAAAAAAGTTAAACAATTTTTACTTCTCATGAAAGGTCACGCAATCACGCTACAAATACTATTTCTATACGTGAAATTTCTTGATGGTGGAAAGTGGAAAAAACATTTTTCAGTCTTATTTTCTCGAAAAATTGGCGCAGTTAATGAATTTATGGGGCTATTGGTATTTCCTATCAAATAATTATAAGGGGAGAGTTTCCCGTCATCCGCGGTATGGAAAAGCCGAAGTTGTTACACTCGGGAACTTGTACGTCAACAAGCACGCGACATGTGACTTTAAAATCTCCTCTCCTGTTACAGTTTCCTTATTGTAAACTGTGCAATAATAATAATAGACGATCAAATTATAGGCTAATGAATGTTTTGTTATGTACAAGAGCCCTATTTCCTGATTTTAGCAAATCTTCAAAATAATAAACGACTGAAGAAAGAAACGCTACGATTTTCCCATTGATTTTTCGCCTACATGCATCTCTCTAAACGTGAAATTTTCCATTCCTACGAAAAATCTCGAAAGTTTTTCACATTTTTCACCTTTCTTGATCAATTATCTTGAATAAAGAGCTAAAAAATGTAAGTTTATTTGTTCAAGTGACCGCCTAGAGCAAGAACTGCGTGACAGGTGTTGTTGAGAGAAACTTGTCACAGTCAAAGATTTTTTTGATGATTTTCAGAGATGAAATAAGGGGTTATAGAGAGTAATTAAGATTAGTGTTGTAGTTTTCTGGCAACGGAAGATATTTGACATCAAAGTTGTCAAATATTTGGATGAATCGAAAAGTCTAAAAACACAGTTGTATATTTGCCTCTGTTGATTGACAAGCCGTCAATCAAATTGACTGATACTTTGCGCGGACATTGACTAAGGATGTGAATAACTAGAACTAATCTCAGAGTATTTGGTTAAATACCATCGCAGTGAGGGCTTCATACATTTTACCTATTTCGAAGCGATTTCCTAGGTGAAAACCAAGAAAAACCGGGGAGGTGGTCTATCTCCCCCCGGAAAAAACCAAAACAGAAACCAGTTTGTCTTTTGGAGTTTTGGGGTAGACCCTTTCATTGAAATCAGTGAGATGGTATGTAGCACGACTACCCGGTGCTCTCGTGGACACGCTCTTAAACGTTGTCTTCACAACGGGGAAGGCAGCAACCGCTCGACTGTGAGGTCTGTCCCATACATCTGCAGTGACTACATGCTGAGTGTGTGGGGCATTCTGTAGATGATTGAAGAAAAAATTATATGAATCGTTCTTCAAAGGAGCATCTTAACGAAAAAACCTGTCCATGTAACGAACGAAAATTGTTGAAAGGCGAGTACCGTATTATGTCGTTGTATGATTCATATCAAAGTTGTTAATCCTCCCTGGGATAAGTAATAAAATATTCAGTTGGTCATGCTTGACTCATTTCTTGTTATTGCTCGGGCTGGGTTGTTCAAAGCTGGGTTAAGATAACACAGGTAGGTGGGAAATCTGATTTTATATCCAAAAAGTTTAAAAATAAATTCAGTACAACTTGATGATTGGATGCTCTAAAAAGAATAAAGAAAATTAAGCCAAAAAAGGCTTTGGAACATAAGAATAAAGAACCCGGATTAAAATTAACCCTGGGTTAACGCTATCGCCTCTCGAACAACTGAGCAAAATGCTATCATATGACACTTAGGGGAGATCTTCTATTCTGTGACAAAAAACAGGTTCTTAACTGTGTCGACGCGAGTGCTTCATTTTGTGAGACCTACATTTCGTGTTGTGTAACCATTCTAGAAGTAAATTATGCATCGTTTCCGGAAGGATTCCCGGAATCAACCGTTCATGGTACCTTTGCATAGCTGAGAAGGTCCGGTAACATCACTTCCTTCAGCGCTTGTAAAGAAAGACGTCTTTACAAAAATAGAGACCTTACGATCCGACAACGGCGACGGCGACGGCGACGGCGACGGCAACGTGAGAAGTCTGGGTCGAGCGGGGCCACATCGTGTTGGTGTTCCCGCCAAAATTGAGATTACGAATTTTACGAGCGAGAACGTTGACGACGGTCATTGATGTTTATCGTGTTTAAGTCAACGAAAGGTTTTTTAGAAAGCCATGCCAAAGTTCCGTGACACTATTCTCCTGGCTCATGCTTCCCGTTTGATTAACACTGAAGAATTCGTGCTTCTCTACGATTCTCTGTTTTGTATTTGTTTTTGATTCAGTTATAAATATAGCAATATTTGCGGTATCGGAATTCGTCGATATAACTGTTCAACCCAGCCAGTGAGTTCCTTTTAAAATAAGGTTAATCTACGATTATAAATGAAAATTAGCTCAATGAAAGTATTTACACACTTTGCATCGGTCGAATCTAATACCGCTGCCGACAAAATCTCTCTACTATTTCCTAGTAAACCCAAAATAAAATTATTAAGCTTAATTGTTCTCTTTTTTTTGATCGAGAAAAAAGTTGGAAAGTAAGTGATAAGAAAGCTCAGTGATAGCGAATGAAGTACAATCACAAACAAATACAAATCAAAATAAGTCAAATCTCTCTCCATTCAGTTTGTGGTCGTATACAAAAGACTCCACGCTCTGTTCGTTTCGGATATTTCAAACAAACTAGTATTCTTTAAATTTAGTCGCAAAGTCTCGTTTTTACCTTGATTCATTTGCCATAGTTGGGTTTTAATTTCCACGTTTTCGCACAACGTCAAACAAGGCTTCTAGACGTCCGCGCGTGAAGGGACACCGCCGTCTCAGAAATCTACTCATGCGCAGTACGTAACCGGAAGTAAAAAAGTCCCACGTCGCCGTCGCCGTTGTCGGATCGTAAGGTCCCTAATAGCTCAAAGAAGCGTCCGGCTTATCCTGCGATGAAGCTTTTGAGGAGGTAGACAAGTACATTAAAGGTGTCTACGACATTCTCAAAGAGGATGCGAATAAGGTTAACAAGAAAAGGGAAGCGTTCGATGAGGTGGCGAAGAATAGACTTCTTTTTTTTTCTACATGGCCAGATTGGTGTGTCTTACATGTGCAATGATTGGAAATTAGTCTTCCGGGCTCGCATGGGACTCTATCGGTTTATTTCAGATCTAATTTTAGAGAATGTTCCCTCTCTTGACCAGTTTGGTACAGCTGTGAGACCGCTGGACCGTGAAACTGGCGGATAGTCGGGGGTTAATTCGAGGGTCGTTAACAGTCAAAAGAATAGCGCTGACCGTTCGTGATCATATGTTATGAAAATTACCTAGCTTTGCATTAGTATATTTCATAGTCCTAAATGCATACCTTTGCCGCAGATTCACCGGAGCAAATTTACAAATTTGTCATGTGTTATCAGCAAAATTTCATTTACCCTTCATCATTCTTATTCATTAGTGGTTCATCAGCATATTTTATGTGTTTTTAAACTTACAAAATAACATTTTTAATATCCTTAAATTTAAGAAAGTTTGTTGCGTTTATTTCTGGTGAAACTATCTTATTTAAGTTTTCTCCCGTATCCCATTCAAACCTTACGGCAATTTTATATCTGTATTATCGCTGTGTCGCGTGATTTTTCTTAACGTGACGTGACTGATGACATATAAGCCGAGTTGTCAAAAATAGCTGAAATTAAGAATCACTCATTGTGAATAGTAATTCAAGAACCAACGGATCAGATAGCTGAGGAACTAAGGCAGAACAGCGTGAGGCAAACTTTACTCGATTCTTCCGAGCGCGTTTTCAATACAACTTAACTTTGCTGCGAGAGAGATGTCTTCAACGCAAAAGACTGTAGATGCAGAGGATTCACCCAGTGATGGAGCCTTCAAGGAACTTCACAAGCACATCAATGACGTCTATGACATTCTGAAGCACGAGACGAACAAGCTTCGCAAGGAGAAGGAAGCTTTTGACGAGGTGGCGAAGAAGCTGGAACATGTTCACTTCTCAAAGATGTTGAAACTGAATGTTGGCGGCCATATGTTCACGACAAGTCTAGAGACCATGACTAAAGATCCAGGTAATTTGACCGTTTCTTAGAATATTACAAAGTGATACGAAATGAACGTCGACAGGTCAGGAAAGTTTTAGTGATCTTTGTGAAGACGTATTCCGAGAACATGGTTTTTAAAACTACGAAAGCCAAATGTTGGTGGTTCTATTGTTTGGTAGCCGGAAATATAAACAGTAAGGAGGTAAAGATGTACTAAAGAAGAGAAATGAAGAATGAAGAACAACTACTAGCCCGATAAATTTTACATAAAATGAGAACCGTGACGGAAGCTGAAAATTACACTTTCAAAAGGTTTGGCTCGAGAATTCACTCATGCGCAAACGAACGATTCAGTCTTCCGCTTTTATTCAAAAGTGCTCCTAAATTAATAGAGGAAACCAGTTGCGGTACATTTGCCATGTATGGAATTGACTGAATAAATTCCATAAAGGAAGTTGCCGGTGTTCGATTATTTGGTGGGCAGACAAACGCTAAAGGGGCAAATATAAACAGCCCGAATATTTTATGATTCGTGACGGAGGTGACACTTTAACTTTTAAAGGGTTTGGCTCAAGGAATCACTTATTCACTCGCAAATTAACGATTCAACTAGAAATGGTTCACTAAACAGTGTACAAGCACGTATTTGACATAAGCTGATTTCTTAGCGAAATATGTTTTTGCTCCCTATCGCAGGTTCCATGTTACACGCCATGTTTTCAAGCAGATTTGACACAAAACCTGGTGAGGATGGATCTTACTTTATTGATCGAGACGGAACCCACTTTCGTTACATCCTGAATTATCTGCGCACGGGGGAGCTTATCGTCCCTAATGACGAGATCATTCGTAGAGAACTGCTGGCAGAGGCCAAATTTTATCAGGTCGAAGGAATGATAAACGAGCTGGAACCAACGCCATCAGCAGATCCAATCCCTGTAGCTGTAGTTCAACCGTTCAAGGATTCAGTGATTCTCTCCTCCAGTCAGGGCCAGACTTTGATGAATTGGTTGAAGAACACATCAGGCTTTTCCAACAGAGATGAGCTTTTGTTGTACCGAGCTTCCAGAGATGGTTGGGCTTCTTCCAACTTTCACTTCTACTGTGATAACCAAGGACCAACTGTTGCAGTAATTAAGAGTGGAAATAACATATTTGGAGGATACACTGAACAAAGTTGGGATAGTGGTAAGTTCTAAACACTGACCCAGTTCTCTTCTTATAGTTTTTCCCAAATTCTTGTCGGAAAAATTACGACAAGGAAACTCAAATAATTAATGCTAACAGAGTATTTGAAAAGGCATAAATGTCCCCCAACGTTTGAGTGTACAGAAGAAGTTTGTTAATTTGTTATAAATTCCCACCCTGAGAGTTTGAAGCAGATCAAAATTTGGACAATAAATACAAACAACAATTATTTAATTTGTGATTGTTTGGTCACAGAGGACATGAAAATGAGCCTTTTGAGTCGCGGCTTATCAAAGGTTGCAATGCATTAAAAATTGTCGCGACAAGCTACCATAGTTTCCAGGGCTGGGGACTCTCCTCTCCCCGGCCTTAGGAATTGAGAGACCCACTTGGACATTCATCGAAAAAGAATATAACTCCAAAAAGAAAATAAATTCCTAGGGAGGGGTCTCTGTTTCTGAAAGTGTTGTTGTGCTAAGTCTTTGCAAAAATTAGGATCTTTAACTGTAGGAAATGGAAAGGAAGGGACCTTGGGAACGTGATAGACGAAATCGAGTTCAAAATAAGTACTAGTGAGAGGTCGTCAGAATTCTAGTGCAAAGTCATTTCGGAAAATTGACCTTGCACTGGAAAGTCTCTCGTTGTACAAAACAAATAAAACAATTTTGTGATGACGTCCTCTGGTATATACGTGCTCTTTATGATTTAAGGCAATCACCATTTGTACAACGTGTACACTTAGCTCATTGCATAAGACCACTCTCCACCCAATACTGAGACCCATTCGAAGAAAGTCGTGACTAGAAATTGGATAAAAGAACAACAGAAATTTAAATTGTCAGATTCTGTAGGCATTAACTTTAACTGGTTGGCTTGATTTTTGTTTAGGTAGTGGATCATATAAAAGTGCAGAAAACTCGTTTCTGTTCAGTCTTGTCAACCCGAGTGGTCTGTCACCAACAAAGATGCATTTGGAGAGTGGACAAGAAGGAAGAGCTATGTGTTGTAACGGTAGCTTTGGACCAGTATTTGGAGGTGGAAATGATCATGATCTTTGTATTTCCAATGCACCAAACTCCAACAACTGCTCTACATATTTGAATAACGCTTACCAATGTCCATCAGGACAAAATCCTAAGGTATTTTTAACAGGATCAGTCAGTATTTCAGGGTGAGTGAAATGGAAGTTTATAGGTTATAGACGTAAAACGAGTTTTTCTTCGACTAAACATAGAATGGTTTGTAAACTACTGCCTCTCGTTCATTTGCTTTTACAAGTTATAGTTGCACGAATACTGTTGACTTGAGAAACAGAAAATCAAATCTGTAGAAAAGAAAGCAATGGAAAAGATCATGTATGTTTCTTTTTTTGATGAATTGCCGAGTTTTTTAATTACTTTTTTAAGATCCTGATTATTGAAAACTTTCCAAAGTCTATAATATAGACGATGGCGCGCATATGTACACATGTTCGCACTTTTGACCATATACATGTCTCTGGCACTTAGGTTTAAAACCATCAAATAAATAAATAAATGAAAGCAAAACAAAACATGACATCAGAGAGTCTTTCCCACATTTTTTTCTTTTCGTTGTCACCCATTCCTCCTTCCCTTTCTCAGAAGCCCCGGTTCCCTGTATGCACTGCAGGTAACTTTTTCGATCGTAATGTTACAATGTTGAAAAGGTATATAACAGGGGGTGAAGCTACTTTCTCCATATATTCTGTTAAAGTAAAACAGTCGAAATGATGCTCTCTAAAGTTGTTACAAAGTAATCTAACAGGACATTATCAGCGGATAGCTCCATTGCACAACGACGAGCATTTTGCGCCGTCACTTTGTGTTTTCAAGAAAAACATGGTGGTCACCACGGTGAACTGCGAAATTCCTTCGAGCTGGTTAGTTTTGATCTATTCAAATGAACCAAAGATGTGAACTGGAAACCGTTGAGAGAATCTTATAATAATCTTCCGAGTATTAGTCTTTCGTCAGGGGAAAAAAAAATTAAGTTTGTTGGCATGCATGGCGGCGAGTAGATCATTATCCAGTTCATTATCAAGTAACAGACTGCACGCGTGTTGGTTGTCACCCAGTAGCGCGGTGGATGACACTTAGCACGGAGCTACTTTTGAGCAGTATGAAGAAGCAGGACTAGCTTCAAATAAAATGATCTTTGCTTTTTTCATTTATTCCATTGTCATATTAGTGCGGCACCCCCTAAAATACCCAATAAGTGACAACAAACAAAACAGAATAACGATCCTCTCTCGAAATATGTTAAAACACAAAGGACCGGTTCTTTAAGCAAAGTTTAAATGTTGTTTAACAAAACCGCGTCCTAAACAATCCTAAATGTAGCTGAACTTCTTATCTGAACATTTATTATCGTAAACAAAGTCAAGAGGCCAAAAGGGAACAGTAGAAGGACATTAACTTATCAAATGAACCCTCTTAAAACGAACGCCTGAGACTTTAATTCCCTAAATGCCCTCAAACCAGAACGACTTTAGATTCTCCACACGGTGACGTTCAAAGACCAACACGTCACGGACCCGGTAGCCGTGCTGACAAAGACAACGTGGGCTCAAAGCACCGCGCCAGAGACAAAGAAAGTGATATCCGAAGAGTCGCGAAGATTTAGTTACTTAAGTTCCGCGAAGATTTGTTCTTCTTGGAAATTTAACCTACATTTTTCAATATTGTAATTTTCATATCTTAATCTTCTCCATTATCAATCATCCTTGTTCCCCAATAACAGTTTATTTTTACCACTTCCACGCGTTCCACCTAGCAAACTAATCTTGTGAGCTTTCCTTTGATCTAAAGTTAACTTTGAAAGTTGCAAAAATAACTTAGTAGAGTGACGTAGCTCCCTCCTGTTCTGGAAATAAAAGCTTCATATCTTGGTGAAAAGTCAGTCGGAAAGCTTGGACTCAAAGGCTCTCCTCTATCAAAAGAATCTTATGATCTTCTACGGAGTAAAACCTCGTGAAAGTACATACGTTTTTTCTAGGTGAGGTGTTCGTACTGATTTTCATTGAAGGTATCGTCCTGATATCGCAAACATTTAGCACGTCCAGGTTTGGGCCATCGATAAATCTGAAAAACTACTTAAATTCTTTAAGTATTTTGTCGATTTTTGTCAAATTGTTCGTTCTCTTCAAGATGCCAAAACCAGGCGTTCCCAAGAACATAACGGCAAGCACAATATCCCACGGATTTCAAGGAAGCCCGCAAAGGATGACAGCTCCATATTGTTCTGTAACATTCTTAAGCAAAAGACTTGGTTTTTTCATAATCGTAGCTCTCAAGAGGTGGGCACGAACACACCAGATGTTGGTCGCCATATCTGTCATTTACTCGTGAACACGTTGGCCAGAATTTTGCGGTTCCCTTTAACCAAGGCTGGCGAAACAAACCACATGAAATGTCAGCATTGGTTGCAAACTTTCCGAAGGTGATAGAAATGGGAGAGGGTAATTGCTTTGGCTGCCCCTTCACCCAAAACCCCCTGAAAATCTTACACTCAGGCTAAAAGAGGATACTTCTATCAAAATTTACAACAGTCGTCTTGATAGCCCTCTGTTCATTTAAGATACAAGTGTTAAGGGGTTTCAATGCATGAACTCTTTCCAGATAAACAGTCATTTTGTCCCACATTGTTCTTTTTATATTTCCTATGATTTTGACAAGGATGTTTTTTTTTTGAACAATCTGGAGCTTCTTAAATTAGTGAAAATTCCTTTTCATCTCATGACCTTTTCATTTGATTCAAGGGTGATTCTGAAAGGATAGATTCGAAGCTAGACATTCTGAAAAGGTTAAGGTCTCTATCTACGTCTTGTTAACATCATCTACGCCATAACTTGGTTGCTACAGTCAGAAACATTATTTCGCTTGACCCAGTATTACGGTATGTTTTTGTTCTACTCGTATAATTTTCGTTGAAGCAAGCTTTCAGATAATTGACGGCGGGTCAAGATTGCGCGACAGCTGACTGCGCAGACTAAGTGCTACGGCACATAGAAGCGTTACGAGTCATGGAGCGACCAAGTTGGCGTCAAGGGTATCGACACGAATGCTGCGTGACACGAAAGTAAAGTTGTAACAATTAAACATTCTGTACTCACAGCGGGGAAGGCTGCAACTTCTCGACTGTAAGGTCTATCCCATACATCTGCAGTGACTACATCCTGAGTGTGTGGGGCATTCTGTTGATAATTGAAGACAAGATTATATAAATCGTTCTTCAAAGGAGCGTCTTAACGAGAGAACATATCTATGTAACGAACGAAAATTGTTGAAAGGCAAGTTCAGAAATAGTTTACAGTAGTTCAGCTCTCTTTCGATAATAAGGAGCAAGTGCATTATTTTCAAAGGATTTAATACAAAAAGTACCTTAATTGGGTTATTTGCTTTATCCATTAGGCCTTCTTCTATAAAACGGATTTCTTCGCGGATCACTGCAGTTAAAGAAAAAAAAAAAGATTCACTGTTATCATCCCAAACAATTCAAATAATCAATGAAGTAATGAATACAGAAAATGAGAGAAAAAGATAAAAGGGGGAAAGAAAGCGAGTGAGAAAGGTAGAAGGATTGAGGTCATCTTTTATTTTTTATTATTCATTTATGTTTTTTTGGTTATCAAACTACTATATCACAAAATCTAAAGCTGCCATCTTGGCTCCGACGGTGCTGTGGTGACTTAGAAATTGGCAAAAAGAAAGAAGGGAATTGAAGAGGAAGTAAAATAAACCTTTCACCCTTTTTCACTCCTCCTCTCCCCTTCACACCCACACACCTCGCAGCCCACATTCACTGAAAAGTAGCAAAATGGAAAACTATCGCTATCTTGTCACGTAAACTTGCCTCCTTAAATCCGACGTTTAGAGGCAAGCGAGGAGGAAAACAGTGATAAAGGAAACCAAAACGGGCCATATTTCTACTTAAAGTAACCTCGTCTTCTGAGAAATTTTTTGTCTGACGAGCAGACACTTTGAATGAGATAATTAATGATAAAACAGTGCGCTCAAAAAATTCATAATACCACTTAAAAAATGCATAGCATTTACTTACTTATGAGCGAATCGCATAGTCTGTCCAACTCAGCTTTGCTTTCGCTCTCTGTGGGCTCGATCATTAGGGCAGTGCTCACTGGCCAAGATACAGTGGGCGCATGAAAACCTACAGTAAAATTGAGAAATTTAACGTTATCATCTCCATTCAAAAGAACAGTTTTAACACTGTTTCGTAAAATAAAATATGATAATCCTACTTGACAAACCCCTGTCTGCCCAAACACCTAGGCGACCGATCACAACGCTCTCAGAAGATTCTTTGTTGTTATGGCACCGATTACATATTTTTCCGCGCTTGGCACGTGTTACATATTTTCACGCTTTGCACCCGTTACTCGTTTTCCCGCGCTTTTTATCAGAGCCTCGTTTTCACGCAACAAGCAACATGCTTCCCGGCAATATCGGTTCTAGTTACATGTTATCTTGTGTTTTGAGCCGTGAAAGACGGTTTCATTTTGCATTGGCTTTGTTTGGTTCGTCCAGACCGTCGTTACATTTCCTTACCATAATCCTGAAGTCTCTTAGCAATGTCGATTGCTTCGATACCAAATTTCTTGAAATCTTTGGCGTCAACAATAAACTCATGGGCACAATAACCTGGTAGAAAGAAAAAAGATAAAAACGTCAAGAAACGGTTGAAAGTCACCAACAGTCAAACACACACTTTTTGGACACTTCTGTTAAGTAGACATAAACTCTATTCCAGTTGAAAGGCACACATCTATTCAGCAACATTTTTCCAGTCCCGAGAGAGTTTACTAAATGGAAGATCCAAAATTACTTTTCCAAATCTACAGCGACATTACCGTCTTTTCCGATGAACAGAACATCATAGTGATCCTTCAGTCTGGCAGCCATGTAGTTTGCGTTCAAAATAGCAATCTATAAAGTAAAAAAAGCAAAAAGATCACAAAACGATAATCTACGAAGAGGAAAATGCCATGCTAGCCTAGTTGAGGTTGTTACACACAAATCATGCTACAAGAAAACTGTTCTAACCGAATGCCATACTGTTTACTCGTAGATGGCTCCACTTTAAGGAAATATCTGAATAACATAAAAAAGGAAATAATGATTCTAACCTTAGTTGCATGTGCGAGACCCTTGGGGCCCATAAGTTTGATGTACGACCAGGAAATGGGTAAAATAGCACTGGAGCCATATGGAGCTGCTGAAATGACCCCAAATGGATGGGTACGTTCACCTCTGGAACTCCGAGGTGCAACCACGGGATGGGACGGCAAGAATGGAATGAGGTGCTTTTTCCTGCGGGGGAATTAAACAAACGGTTAAACTTGGAGTCGAAAGTAACATTCATCCGTTTTAATATCTTTAGAATAGTTTGTTATTGACTCATCATCGTCTTCCTCATTATCCAGTGCACTTTTTATTGATCTTCAATTCACAGACGAGCAAACGACAACAATCAACATAATCCCTCCTAAAAAATATGTTTCGTCCAGGCACTACACGGAGAGCTAATCCTAACCCTTAGCCATTAGAAAAAAAAAGTCCGGAAGTCTTGATTACATTTGGTTGGTAAAGAACTAAAGAAGAGTGACATCACGATTTTCAATTACACCAAGTCAAACTATACCAAGAGTGAAACTGTATACTTACACTCCGATAGGCCCCATACCAGGTCCTCCGCCCCCGTGAGGAATACAGAAGGTTTTGTGGAGATTTGTGTGCATAACATCGGCGCCATAATCCGCTGGTCGACAAATTCCAACCTGTTACAAGAAACAAGTAACTATTAGAAGGTAATTTCAAACACAAAAGACGCTAAAAAAAATAGCCCATCACGATTTTGCAAAGATCTCACTTCAATCGACCCAAATCATCGTCTCGACTTGTTTCCGTTCTCTAGACGACGTTGGTATATCTTTGTTTCGTTCTGTTGACGTATTGTTATGTTCGATTTAGTGTCTACTGCCTGCTATTCGTGTATGTACCAAGGAATGATCACACCCAGCGATTTTGACTGAGAAAACGTAATCAGTAAAGGATTTGCTATAAAGCCGAGATTCGGCTTAAGCTCTTTATCGTGAAAGAAAGTCGGGCCAGATGGGCCTATCCTGGTTTGTCAATCGGAACTAAGGGTTTGTTCCATCTTTTGTGCACGCGATGCCTCTCGTACTATTAACAGCATAAATATCAACAAACCTGAGCATTTAAGTTAGCGCCATCGAGATAGACTTGTCCTCCATGTTCATGTACCAAGTCACAAATGTCCCTATCAGATTTAAAACAAGCAAGTTATTGTTAATCAATGTCGTCTTTTGACCCCTGACGTAACAAACTTATCTCAGAATTTTGTCGCAGTCGACATAAATTAGTCAACCTCCTCGCTTCAAGAGTTTGACAGGGTTCTGAATGGGCGAAATAAGAAAAAATAACTTAACCAAAGGTGAACAACAGACATATTAAAATAACTCGGAAAAATGTGGCTTTTTATTTCTGATGGAGCAATACAAGATAAAATAAGGGTGACTGAGTGGAGTGGGGTGAGGTGGCGTGCTAGACGAGCAGCTCTAAAGCAATTATGTCTAGAAGAGTGGTTTGAAGTATCACTTTTTGTAGGCATCACGCCCTCCATTGACTACTATCCTTCCCCTCACCCCCCCTTTACCGGGTCCACCCTCAAACTTAGTCAATAAAGAGAATAACGAGGTAAAATATTAATAATTCAAGGCAAGCTCAAACGGAATTTTTTGTTTCCCAACCTAGTTTACCCAATTCCACACTAACAGTTTACCTCGCTAGCCAAAACCAACACTTCAAAAGTTTATATGAATATGAAAATTGTTGGCGCCTACCTGATTCCTTCTTCAAAGACTCCGTTAGTGGAAGGATATGTTACCATGATGGCGGCCAAATCTTTGCTGTGCTTCTCAACCTGACAAAACATTACTAGAGTCAAAGTTTTATTCATTGGCATTAAAAATGGTTAACTACAGACCATATTATCATTGATCTATTTTGTTATACATCGTTGATATCCTCTTAAGTAATATTAAACACTTCTACATGAGCCCCTTTTTTATGCAAGTAATAATTCGACTACAATTAGTACTTTATTCATTCATTATGTAAAGAACCGGGGGAAATATACCGATTTCTTAAGTCAAGACTAACAGGTAAATTTCCCAAGAAAAACAACTTTTCTATCGGGATTTGACTCGTCCAATTTGGGCTCTTGAAAAACCAATTTTATTTTCCGGGAAGTTTGCCAGAAAGCCTCGACCTCGTGTGCTAGATCCAGTTTTTCTGGCTCAAGTCCAATCACTCGGAATGTTGAAACGCCGCCAGTAACTGGCTTTCGTTGAAACCCCTGGGAAAGTTTTGCAAATCAATAAAGAGTGTAAGTTTCTAAAGAAACTTTGCTGCTGTGTCGGTGGCACTGTCTCTTAAATCTTATACCTGCATCTTCAAGTCACTCATGCTGACATTTCCATTATCTTCCACCTTGACAACTTGCACCTGGTAACCAGCCATTTGAGCACTGGCAGGGTTGGTGCCATGCGCAGAAACAGGGATAAGGCATACCTTAAGGACACAATATGAGAGAATGAGAGATACCACATACCATAAGTCAGCTAGGGCACCAGACAGATCTAACGGGGGGGGGGGGGAGAGAGATTACTAAGGTTAATATGCATTCTACACCCACTGATATCAACCTAAGCTCAGATTTTCCCCATGAAAAATATTGCCTGCATTAACGCAGTGTGCAAAAATACAGAGAGTACTATTTGTTCTTCAAAGTATCCTTTATCCCTTGGGTATGATAATTCTATAAATTACAATGAGTAGACATAGCAAGACCTCTCTGGTGGGAAATGCTACCTAAAGTCTTAAAATGTGCCCAAATGTCAAATTATTTCCATTCAGGGTGCATTATTACTTTTCACCCTTCCCATATGTTGAAAATTACTGTACCAAAGAAAAAATAATAATTAATTTTGTTCTCTGGGTTTGGCAGTTAGGCTGTCACCTTCAGCACAGACTTGATAAAGTGAAGCTCACGTGGTGAAGTATCAATGAAAAAAGTCCTACCTTTCTGTTTTCTTCTCCAATGTGTTCATGGTACGCTCTGATGGCTCTCAGACCAGTGTACTCTCCTTGTGCTCCACTGAAACAAAAATGAAACATAAAAAACTAGTAATAAGCCAATAAAAAAAATGTACATTGAATAATGTTAAGCAGAAACCTTCTGTTTCTCATCAGCTATGGGAGGCAGAGTGTGAAGTGTGCAGTGCCCTGGCTGTACCATGGACCAACATTATAAAATGTTACAACTGCATTCCTCTGACCTATGTGTTGTCATACTCAGAAAAACATGAACTCCTGAATGTGTGTTATAGCCAATCATATGAGAGTTGAGGACTGCGATCAAATTGTGGAAACATATGTAAACTAATTTAAAGCCTTGTTGTGCAAAAGTTTATAAGTTTTCTTGTTTTCTTGGTTTGTTCTTTCAAATACAATGGTCTACCAGAAATATTCCCTGTCTTGACTGTAGTCTGAGTTTCACCGTAAAAATTTCAGACACAAAATGTGAGTGCAATGAAGAATTTACTGCTGTTTCACCAATAAATGTAACTTGAAGGAATCAAAATTAAAAAAATACTAAAAAATAATAACCATGATAGTAATATTCTTTCACACCTGTTTGATTGGAAACACACAGCATCAAAGCCTGTAATTTCACACAAATCTTTTTCCAGTTCCTCATAGAGACGGCGATAACCTTGAGCCTGGTCCACTGGCGCATAGGGATGGATGTCCGCAAACTTGGGCCAAGTGATAGGCTGGGTAGGAGGAAAACCAAAATTTGTCATGACTAACTCACATGAATTATTATTAATATGATTACGATAATTATGCTTCCAGTAATACACATTTTCCACAATGCCATAAATGCGAATAAACCTTAATCCTTTAACTCCCAAGATCTGATTGTTACCGTAAACGTCCATGTATAAGCCGCACTTTTTTCACAAAATTGAAGCCAGAAATTAAGGGTGAGGCTTATCCATGGATACATCTGTGTTTGGAGTTCTCAAAAACCTAATTAATATTCATAAAACTTAAAATGCCAAGAAATAAACATAAAAGAAACTGAGAGCGTGTTGCTGTAGTTCATTGACTTTTTCATTGAGTGGTGGCTCCTAAAGGAGCCGTTTATGTCTTCGAGTGTTTATCGTCGAATCTTGCTCTCCAAGATTCTTTCAAGCGATTAATTTTCGCTTTACTCAAACAACTAATGTGGGAAGATGACTCCAATTCTGATCCATTTGCATGCATAGATGAGGACGAGGATGTGGACTTGCTTTATAGTTTCAAACAGCAACAAGCAGAAATTGACCCAGAAAGCTATGAGAATCTCTTTGGAGATAGCGATAACGAGGACTTTTATGGCTTTTCACGATAAACACTGACTTTATCAGATCTTCACGTGAAGAACAGTACCATCTTTTATAAATAACCTAAAGTATTGTAATATTAATTAATGAAATAGGAACTGAAATGATTGCTTCAGCGCGCATGCTTTCTGTTTAGGCCCAGACAATGGCCAGGCCTTGGCCCAGACTCCTCCCAACATTTTTTAAAAAATGTTAAAAAGCTTGGCTACTAAGCACTTGTTTGTTTATTGTTTTTCAATGCACAGGAATTTCAACTTTATGGCGTGTTTTGAAGTGATAATCTTGAAAATCGGATCGAAAGAGCATTTTAAGTTAAAGATGGTGTAAATTCTAAAGAGAAAGAAGGTACAACAAATGAAATTTCGCTTTCTTTAGACTTGATAAATGTGAAAGATAGCCATAACTTC